TTATTGCAAGTCATGCGATAAATGTCAACTCATTGCCAAGAAGAAAACCATGGACAGAGCTCCACTTATTCCATTGCCTGTAATAACAGAGCCATTCAAGAAAATTGCCATGGATGTGATAGGCCCACTGGTACGCTCTACCAAAGGAAACAAATACATTTTATGTATTGGAGACTACGGAACAAGGTATCCAGAAGCTGTTCCAATGAGAAACACAGATGCTAAAAGAATCGCTACAGAGCTGATGACTTTGTTCTCCAGAGTTGGAATTGCTGAAGTAATACTTACAGACCAAGGTACAAACTTCATGTCAAAGACCTTGAAGGAAGTCTACAGGTTACTAGGCATAACTGGAGTTACAAGTACACCATACCATCAGCAGACTGACGGCCAAGTGGAAAAGTTTAATGGCACCCTGATTAACATGTTACGCAAGTTTGTAGCAGATGAGCCAAAACTTTGGGATGTGTATCTTCCTTATGTATTATTTGCATACCGGGAAGTACCCAACAGTTCAACGGGATTCTCTCCATTCGAACTCCTTTATGGACGAGACGTTAGAGGACCATTGGACATATTGAAGGAAAACTGGGTTGCAAAAGAAGATACTCCACCAACAGTTGTTGAATATGTAGTTAAAATGAGAGAGAAGCTGGACTCTTTGCATAAGTTAGCAGAAAGCAATGCAGCAGATTCCAAGACAACACAGAAGAAATACTATGACAAGAAAAGCAAGGAATCTACTTTAGAACCTGGAGATGAAGTCCTTCTATTACTGCCTACAAGTGAAAACAAACTTGAGATGAGATGGAATGGACCTTACAAAGTGAAACAACCCCATGGAAAAGTAAACTACGAAGTTGAAGTTGGCAACAAGACTAAGATTTACCATATCAATCTTCTTAGAAAATACACAGACAGAAAGGAATATTGCTTCATGATGACAGAAGATGAAGATGACAGCGATATTGAAGACGTCATGGTCATATCAACAAAACCAGATGTCCAGATCAAGAAATATGACTTGAATGCTGAGATGACAGCGGATCAAACACAACAGATGAAATCTCTGTTAGATGATTTCAATGATGTTCTCTCCAATGAACCTGGAAGAACAGACCTGATAAGACACCATGTTGACACTGGACAAGAGAAACCACATCGTCAACCAAGCTACAGAATCCCTCAAAGTCATCTAAAAATAGTGAAAGAAGAATTGGATTCTATGCTGAAAGATGGTATAATTGAACCCTCTACAAGTGAATGGATATCAAATGTTGTTTTGATTCCAAAGAAAGATAATACAATTAGATTTTGTATAGACTTTCGGTACCTCAACAGTGTATCAAAATTTGATCACTACCTGATGCCAAGAATAGATGACATTATAGACAAGCTTCAGAAAGCAAAGTGGATTACAGTTGTCGATCTTTGCAGAGGATTTTGGCAGATACTCCTTACAGAAGAGTCGAGAGACAAATGTGCTTTTCGGACACCCTGGGGAATTTTCCAATTCATAGTGATGCCGTTTGGTCTCCATGGAGCCCCAGCAACCTTTCAAAGGATGGTAGATGAACTACTTAGAGGTGCAGAAGACTACATTGCAGCCTATCTCGATGACATCATCATCTTCAGTGAAACATTCCAAGATCATCTTATCCACGTGGAAGACTTGATGAAAAGATTAAGAAAACATCATTTGACAGCAAAGCCTGCAAAATGCCAATTTGGATACCATGAAGTTGTGTATTGTGGACACAAAGTTGGCAAAGGAAGAGTAACACTAAAACCAAGTGCTATAGAAGCTATACAGAAGTTTGAAAGACCAGAAACAAAGTCCTTACTCAAGACATACCTGGGAATGACAGGATACTATAGACGCTTTGTTGAAGATTATGCTACAAAGGCCTACCCTTTAACAGAACTGACAAGAAGACAGATTCCTAAGAAGATACCATGGGATGACAAAGCAGAACATTCATTCCAAATTCTGAAGAAAGAGTTGTGTGAACACCCTATCCTAAGAACCCCAGATTTCAACTTGCAATTCATTGTGATGACAGATGCATCTGACTATGGTATAAGTGGAATCTTATGTCAAACATTTGATGATGGAGAACATCCTGTGATATACCTTAGCAGAAAGATGATGCCAAGAGAACGGAACTATGCTGTTATTGAAAAGCAATGCCTCGCAATGAAATGGGCCATTGAACAGCTGAGCTATTACCTGTTAGGAAGGGAATTTGTAGTTGTTACAGATCACAACCCTCTTGTTTGGTTGAAGAACATGAAAAACACTAACCCTAGACTCATGAGATGGTCTTTGTCACTGCAACAATACAGATTTACAGTGATACACAGGGCAGGTCGATACAACCAAAATGCAGATGCTTTATCACGATTATGAATCTATTAAAACAGATATTAGTGAGAATAAAAGAAGTAGACATGAGGAAAATTATAATTCTATGCATTTAAAGACATTTCATAGAAACACAATTGTAAAAAGTGCATAATTGAGGACATTTGAAGTTTGAAGAAGTGATCCTTAATTAGTGAAAGTTTTAATTTTTGGGAAAAGCAATCCCTGAGAATTAGTTTAATGGACAATTTTTTTTTAACTTTTGGGGACAATCCATCCCTTAATGAAGAAAGTCATATCAGATGTGACTGTTTTATGGAAAAAAGATAGAAAAAATACCAAAAACAGTCAAAAGAAAGGGGGAAGATGTAATGTATATGGAACTAAAAGTTTAAAGTTGATCAAAAGATGGCACTAGAGTATACTAAACTTAAGACTAAAAACTGAAAAGTGCAATCAGAGAAGCCAATTATGATTTTGAAAAGAACAGTGAGTTCACAAAGAGAAGTCAAAGCATCAACATGTAAATATTATGTGAAGATATAAAATAAGAAATAAGAACATAACGTTGTACAAATGAACCAAGAATCAAATAAGAGACTGAAATAAGCGACAACTATCAGACCTAGCGAGAGCATCAAAGGGGCCCCTCGTCATAACGTCCAGAACCCAAGATAGGCGTCGACAAGGTAGTATGAAACAAGATAATAACAACATTACATTGACTCTATTTGGCATGAAATTCATTTTGCAATGATATTATACATTTAGTACACTCCTTGTAAGTGTAGGATATGATAAGAACATCCATGGGCTTTCAATTAAAAGCCATGGAACATCCTATGATTTTTTTCAGAATATCATTTTAATCTACTCGGTGATATTGATAATTATTATATGCACTCGTTCGCTTTGCTCTCTCATGCAGATATCGATATCACCTCATAGATAAAAATGATATTCCTCAAAATCATAGGATATCCTATAATTATGGTGATGCAATGTCTCAAAAACATGAAAACCAGAATGGGGAAATCTGTAGAAAATCCATAATTGTATTTTGGTATTAAAAACCAGGATCAGAGAAAAAGCTGAGGCTGATGAAACTGCAAGTTTAGTACCTGAAAAAAGATCAATGACATTCTCATCAGTTATCTTAAAATTTGCACAATTCAAATGAAAAACTAGACAGAATTGGTCATTTTTTAGGTTCATTTTAAAATGTTGATATAGCAGTACCAAAAGAATTAATGGGGATAGCCATATTTGTTTCTGTAAGAGAAAAATATCTATAACTCTCTTTTTCGATAAAGCATGAGAATGACTGAATGATTATGATCTGTGTGGTAAACCTCAAAAACATAAAAAATACTTGACAGTATTACATACCTATAGTGAAGCATTTGTATGGAAGTAAATGGGAGAGTAAGCAGGCTTATTACATTCTCTAGGTATTTCTGGTAACGAGACCAGGACATTTAGGATAAATACTACTTGCACATAAGACCATGGTTTTTTAAGTGATCCATATTGATTTTACATGAGAGGTGATTTTTTCAGTCAAAGTATATTCTAAAAAAATGGTTTATGAATGATTTACAAACTGAGCCTAATGGCATATGAGCCAGATAAAACTTGTATTGAACTTGCTCTATTATCCAATCAATGACATTATCATCTATATCTCGGAAGGAAAAAAATTGCATAATAACATTTCATAACCTGATCAACTGGCATCATCTGATTAAAGAGACAGTGAGTGATTACGTCTTGCTTGATTTAGATTCTACCAGAACTAATTAGTAATGTATATTAGATCACTATAATCTTCATAGTGACATATCTCTGGCACTGATCAAACAATGAATTATATTTCAAGCTGCATTTAAAGTGAAACAAAAAAGAATATTACCATAAATGACAATAATAATATTGCAATAAACACTTGTTGATAAATTACAGTTAAGACAGTACCATTGATTTTATTTAAATCAAATTATCGTCACATTTCTATATTTCTAGTATTGTTGAAAAACATAAGCTTTTTTAAGATGCATGTTTAATGAACACATGTCTCTCTAATGATTATACATCTCAAATGAACACAAACATCTCTACTGAACACATGTCTCTCTAATGATTATACATCTCAAATGAACACAAACATCTCTACTGAACACATGTCTCTCTAATGATTATACATCTCAAATGAACACAAACATCTCTACTGAACACATGTCTCTCTAATGATTATACATCTCAAATGAACACAAACATCTCTACTGAACACATGTCTCTCTAATGATTATACATCTCAAATGAACACAAACATCTCTACTGAACACATGTCTCTCTAATGATTATACATCTCAAATGAACACAAACATCTCAAATGAACACATGTCTCTAATAAACTCATCTTCCTGAGGAACACATATCTCTAATTAACACACTTTTCTGAAGAACATATGTCTTAAAACGAAGCTATCTTTTAAGAAATGAAGTCGAATGAATACAAAGAGTAAATGAACACACATCCCTCTTTAAAACACGTTTCTAGTGAACACACCTCAAGTGATTAACTAAGTAGAAACAATTGTACTTACCAATGTGGCATAATTAGCTAAATGTTAACTCAGTCCTTTTTAGCACAAGGTTCTTCACTTTCCCTTGGTCTTCTGAAAAACATCCAATAGTAAAGTGTTTATTGATTGACTTTGATATCATTTTATGAACATCTACATCACAGTTCACTACAGCTAGTAAAAATCATGGTCACTACGCTTTACTATATTGGTATGTCTGTTCAGTGCCCAATCAGTCTTCTGACAATATTCTTGTTACAATATACTAGTATATTGTGAATATATCAGAGACAAATTAGCTAGGATGCAAATGAATACTACTGAAAATGCACTTGTTTTTACAATGTTCTTCAGGACAATTAATAGAACTTTGCTAATCTTTCTGACCAAAAAATTAAACATTTTATATATTTAAAGAGTTGAAGCAACGGTTACGACCACCATTTGTGTATCTAATTTTTCCATTGTCAGGGTGTTACAATGTGAACTTGTAGTGTGGCAATAAAAAACTATAATGAATTAAAAGAATATATGACACCATCAGACATATTTCCAATGTTTAACAAAAGATGCGTTTAATGTTATTGCATACATGCTAGTAGTATGTATTTTATCGAGGGTAATTCCACACTACTATACCTAACACCTAGAAATGCATAAGATACTTTGTTTGTCTAATTGGATTGTTTAGTATATTTTTGAAAGTACCTTATCAACATCTAACTTTCAACCGATAAACCATTAATAAGGAACAGACAAATAAAAACAAATATATAATCATTACTAATAAGCCAAATTCGTTGCTCTTGAAAGCCAAATGCAAGGTATAGTAGAGTGATTCTACTTAACCTCTTGAATCCCAGGCTCTAAAATCAGTTGAAACCAGAGATTTTTTTCATTTTTGCCACCTTTTAACATTTTACTACATACCTATACAACTTTAGATGCCCAACTTAGTAAAATTAGATGGCAGAGATCATTTCTACACGTTTTAAAACAATTTTTGTGTAAATTGGATTAAAATTGTTCAAATAAGAGCTCTGGGTTTCAAGGTCATTTCTTGGTAGTCAAGAGGTTAATTTGGCGCTACTTATTTTGACAGATTTGCTGTTTAGAACATTTGCTGGGACTTTAATAACGTAGATGCGAGTAGGTAGTTACCAGATTCACCACCAGGTGGCTCGTTCGGGTCAGATTGCATGGCGAGTATAGTAGAAAGTTCCCTTTAACTTAAATTACATCTATTTGCGTGGTTCAATTTTCATATAACCCTTATGTATCTAATAGTTATGCAAATTAAAATATGTCCAGTAAAAGAAAATGTTATCCGTCCAATACAAGAAAAGATAATTCACTTTTTGTGATTTTCTAACATCGGGTCTACGAGGAATCAACCCGAACAAGAAGTCACATTTTCAAAAAAATTAAATTTTCAAAGATGATAGACAATTTTCGAAACCATATTTCTAGATGTACATTTACATGCAGATTTCAAATATGACATCGCTTTGACTGAATTTTGAATATTAATGACGTAAATCAAGATTATTTCTACTCGCATGTAGTCTATTTGGCGGACTTGCAATATTACCATGTACTTATGGTACTAATTTAAATGGTACTTTACAGGGGACTTTGGTGGCTACAAATTTGGTGGACTTTAACAATTTGACGGATCCGTCAAATTAAAACGGCTGTAAAATTAAGTAGAAGTACAGTCTTAAAAATATCAACCATTTCGTAAGAGTTATTCCTAGAATATCAACTCCACTGTTAATTGTTAGCATTCTCTAATCCATACCGACACTAAAGTCAGATCAGGTGCAATAATTGCAGGTGTTTTTCTCAGAATTCAATTTTGAAATAGACACAATGATTGACAGCTTGCAAATACCACTATATTTGAGTTGTTATTAACAATCCACCACACTAAACTTTCTCTTGAAAATATAAATCGTGCAGTTTTCTATCAGAAATCATCTGCTTCCCCCTCCATTCTTTTTTCCCAATAATAGGGATGGAGATTCTCTGAGTTCAAACTCAAACTGGAAATAACCATGGGATAAATCTCATATTCACATTCTTGATTTCCTTTTTCCTCAACTCATTGCGATTGAAGGTGTCACAATTTTTCAATACATCTTGCTTTCCCTATTCTTTTTATTTCTAGAATGTTAAAGTTGAGTTGAGTTTAAGCTAAGTTAAGTTAAGTTAGGTTAAGTTTATTCCAATCTTTACAAGTTTAATACAATCAAATACAATTTGACGCAAAGTGTTTATTGTAGACCAAGGATCAAAAGTCAATATTTGTAAATACAATTATTAAGAATGTTCAACAGTTCTGACTTTATTTCAAGATAATTCTTTAATTTTTGAGGTAGTCTTGCAAAAATACATAAAGGTTGGTCCTAATGAATTCTAACAATATTTCGCTGCATCAACCTTGTTTCAATCAAATACATGTATCTCATTTCCTTTTTACAGAGAAGGAAAGGAAAACACTGGGCTCAAGAGATTGCATCTAACATTTTACACTTTATCACTTGTAATTCCTTTAAACAGCCATTACTTCATTATTATGAGATACTTATCTGTCAGATTCTGCAAGGTAAATTCTAATATGTAGAGTAGAATGACAATTCAAAGCAATTAGCATGATATACATGGCATAATTGAATTGACAATGGATTAAGATGTTCAAACATTGATTAATTACTTGTATATTATGTTAAAGGTCTTCATGACCTAATGCTACAATTCTTCGGAAATACCTAACCAATATATCTCTTTATTCCAGTAATTCCATTTATACAAACAATATATCATACCACTTTTTATTTATCACTATTATTATTGGATACACAAATGACATGCATAGATTTCAATCCTCAAACCAATAAGACATTGATCTCAGAAAATATTACACAAACATTTAATTCTATTTTTGGGGAATACCTGTGCATCTTTCACGATAATTGATATTCCATGAAGCCCGAAGGAATACCATCTTAGCTTATGAAAGTGTCACAGATATTCACCGAAAATAGAATTAAATATTTGTTTTATTATTCACTGTTATATTCCTTACTCATATTAATGGAATAAAAAACTACAGAATCGATGCCTAATTAATCATAACAATGCACTCCCAGGGATATATGAAATTAAAATTACATTGGACTAAGTCGTGACTGGTGAATAACATTTGATATTCAATGGAAGTTACGTGACATCCATTGAGTGTCGCTTGTTGTTATATCACTGTCATATTCCTCACTCTCTGATTGGCCCATGTCCTACACGTGACTAAATGGAATGGAAGTCACGTAATGCCAGTTTTTTTATCTAAATTGCCCAGTTTATGTGGGAAGGAGCAGAATTTCCTTCAAAAAAGGTTGGTCCACATTTTTAGGAGATATAATGTGGGGGGGGGGACGGGGCTCGAACTAGCCCCCTTGGCCATGGGCCTGTTTGTGGGTTTACCAACTACCAGATTCCATGACAAAATAATTATATAGGTGGACAATAAGAAAAGCCATATGTAACACTAATCAGATTAGTGCATCAAGAGATGTTTCTGCGGGCAAATTAATTGTAGTCCATATATATTAGGGTAAATGAGAATGTAGGCACAGAATTAATGTTAACAAATAAAATCCTTCTATCACATTCATGATTATGCACTAACTATAATTAGGGATGTTGACAGTTGCTGCTGAAAATAGAAAGTTAATTTGCTTATGATATCATCCCTCTCACGAGTGACACATTTTTTATGTTGATTTACCATCTATTTGATTTCCACTTGAAAATTAAACATTGTTCACTAACAACATTTTCATTTATCCCTCAACCTCTGAAAATTAACTTTTTCAACAGCTAGCTGTTGACAATTTGACACGATCCCTCATCATTAATTTATCAGATATATTCTGTTTATATTGTTAATTGACTCAAATGACAATATATGTAAGATACCTCATACCTGATGCTCATATTAAATGGAATATTGTTTGCTCTCCTCTAAGCTCTCTTAATGAAACAAATGTATAGACTCGGTGTGGTTTCATAATTTTGCACTTGAAGTACAAGAGATACACTGATGTCAGGCCTATTATGACATAGAGTAGATGATGCTGTCCCCAGCTAAAATTTCGTAACTCGGCTGGGAAAAAAGGTTTGAGGGTATCATTTTGTTCCAGACACTCTCTAGAATAAATTTATCTTGGGTGGAATAAAAATGTGTGGTAAGTGAATTCGCTATGGGCAGTTAAAGAGGCGCCATCTATTCATTTTCAAACAGGGGGTAGGGGTATAAAATAATTTTTTAACACATTTTAATAGTAAAATGACATTAAAATACTAATAAAATCTGATCGAAAACATTATTTACAATCAGTATGAATTTTTAGTGTGGATTAGGGTGAAAATAAGGGCATATCTTGAAATTCACTACAGGGGTGGCACCTATTTTCGTACTTCTACCACGTGTAATAACTTATTTTAGATTCGTTAAGGAACAAAATGAACTGAAAAAAAATCATTTTGAATTTATTCAAGAGAGTGTCTGGAACAAAATGATACCCTCAAACCTTTTTTCCCAGCCGAGTAACGAAATTTTAGCTGTGGACAGGATCAAGATTACAAAGATCATTGTACAGTTCACTAAATGAAAAATGAAGAACTGATTTTTTGAGATATCTGAGTCCCCACTCCCTTTTTAGGGGCCACAATATGTTATGACTGTTTCTATAAAATAAAATATCTCTTGAAAGCCCATAAATAAAACAAGGGACCCACAGCCAATAAATTATCAGTTTTTCTAAAATTTCATCACACTTTGAAAAAGTGCTATATTCTATTTGACTTGTGCTGATGGGCCTACAAGCATGCATCTGTGTTTTAAATTTTGGTGTATTTAAGTTCAAACTTTAACCTCCTAAAAATGTCCATAAATCTCAATTATTTCAAATGATCCCCATACTAGTTTTATTTGTGTCAAGTTGGTTTACTTTCAAAGAAAGAGTGGGGGAAAATTAACGTCAAGAACATAATACAATGATTGATGCTGCTCAAGACTACTGATAATTAACTTGAGCAAGATTAGAGAGAAAAATGACTTATCTTTGTTTTATTTCAGGGAATTTTCCAGTTATAGACCAAGACCAATGAGGATTGGCTCCAAGTTCCAGGGACGCAACTTAATATTTTCCAACCATGAAAATGTCAGAATGTCTTTTCTGACATTATAAATGACTATGACTTCAAATTTTGAATTGAACAAAATGGCTGCTGTTTGAATTCGATTTTTTGTTATCTTGATATCTCCATATATGACAGAATATTGAGACGGAAGCCTGGGATCAAATACTCCTTGGACCAAGTTGATAATTTAAAAATCCACTTTATTGACAATTGCTTTCCACCATAATTGTAGCATCAGACCGTATTGATACCAAACAAACAAACAAACAAACGACTCACCTGGATTTACTGTATGTAGGATCACTGAAGATGAGTTTCTCTAAATTAACTGTCGGCATCTCAATGGTAAGAGTAACCAGTATCGCTAAGGTGTATGAGAGCAGCAGGATGGCACTGTATAGAATCAACTGAAATTAGAAAATAATTTTATTGTTTAATCCTAAACTGAAACCCTATTGTTAAACAAATAAGTATAATATCATATCATATCATATACATGTACACATTACATCTAATGTACCACTCTAAGTACTTTACACAGTCATATAAATAGGCCTAAGTAACACTGATATAAATTCAATAGTCATATATATGAAACACTTTTTTTTAAACTACAAAACACCGACTCAACTAAAAAAATACAAAAATATATAAAAAATATTAGGAATTAGCTTTAATCCAATCATATCATATCATATCATATCAGCATTGTATTAAACATTTCATCCCACCTTAAGTGCCTTATGCAAATATAATGAACGTAATATGTCTGTTCAAAATGCAGAGCACTCATCAAACACTCATCTTCACCATCTATCAATGAGTGAGCATCACAAATGAGTGAATGTTCTACTCGCGAAAGTATAAATACATGATATGCATAATGAACAATCATTTATTCCATACATTGAGGTTCTAAGTTACCCTCTGGATAAACCCTGTATCCAAATCCTCCCAGTTCATAACCCTTACACAGTACAAAATATGATATATCAGTTTAGATTTGATAACATGGATATAAGATAAAAGTTGATTTGTGTAGGGAAAATAGAGGATATCCTATGATTTTTGAGGGATATCATTTTTCATCCATGACATGAGTTGATAAAATGATAGCCAAGAAAATCATAGGATATCATATTTATCCTATGGTTGCTATTTTTGTATGAACTTATTAGTGTAATTAGAAAGTTGTTGTTTTTTAGTCCTTTTTTAATTTTTAATTCTATTTTATTATTCATGAAAAAACTCATTTTTACTGAGCACATAACCTTGAAACTATATTGTCAAACAGATAAGTGGTTATCACATTTTTTTTTCAAAATTTCTTTTCAATTTTTTTCTTCTTTTTCAAATCTTTTTTCAATTTTAATTTCCAATTTTCATCTTCAAAATATTTTTCAGAATTAATTTCCTCAATTGTTTCACATTTTCTTTCAATTATTTTTCAAAATATTTTTAAATTGCATCCGGATATGGATCGGATATGATTTTAGTGGCGCATACCAAAATTATCTTGTGCTGTTATCCCCATATATATTTAGTCTCCATCTGATAAAATGTGGTATTTCGATATTGTCTCATAATAGTGTGCCACTGCTAAAAAAGCATACCATGTCAAAATAAATAAGTAAAAATAAATAATACTTGTTCAAAGTAACTCCTTCCTCTGATTTAAGTATCGAACAATTTGTTCAGATTAAAATTACATTGAATTTCATGGCTTCATCTTGAATCTTGATCTTGTTTCGAGATCATTAACAGAATATTCATGCAAATGCTTTGTCTTTCTGGTCCTCAGGCATTTCCTTTAGGAGAAAATGGGATCAAATGAATGATGTACAATCACATAACCTTTAACAGCAAAAACAAAGATCCATACTAAAAATAAGAAAGCAAAATAGCCCAGGACTATTTTTTCAATTATTCATTAAGAGTAGATTAATATTTGCAGGATAGCAAGTAGAGAGGCTCTAGGCTTGTGTCACTTACATTCTTTCATTTTCTTATTTTCTAAATCAAATCCAGGGATATAGTGGAAGAAGTAATAACAAAAATATTGACACTGACACCAAGCCTGTTCATTGAAGAAGTAATAACAAAAATATTGACACTGACACCAAGCCTGTTCATTGAAGAAGTAAAAAGAACTGCTGCAGTAATCTATTCCAAAAGTTGCGTGACAAAAACATACTCTTGGCATACCATTAGTTAGATGTTCATGTCATAAAATATCTCAAATGAAAAGAGGAATGAAAAGTCAATATTGTTATTAAATGTTACAATCCAATGCCCGGAAATTCTGATGCAGCATGCCTTTTGTTGGGGTATTACTTTTAAGTGGTTCTGATTTCAATTCCTGATATTACATTCTGCAGTAATAGAGGTTACATATTGCTTTTTATGTTAGTGGACCACCCAGATAGAAACTAGATAATGACAATTGGTGATATATCAATATCGATAATAATAAAAAAGCTAATACAAAAACTTAAAAACATTAAACAAGGCATTAACATGACAAAATGTCACAAAGACCTTTTTGACCTTGAGGTCATTAAAGGTCAAATCTATTTTGACCTTGAGAATGTCATTTAAAGATCAAATCTATAGTCAGATTTGAAATGTTGAGAACTTGTAGATGATTTTGAAAAAAATATTGGTCAATTTGAAGCAAGTTAAAAAATACATTTTTTGACCTTAAGAAGGTCATTGAAGGTCAAATCTCAAATCTTAAGTCAGATTTGAACTTCCGATAACTTATAGATGATTTTGAAAAAAATCAGTTAATTTGAAGCAAGTTGAAAAAAGACCTTGAAAAGGTCATTGAAGGTCAAATCTTAAATATAAAGTCGGATTTGAACTTCTGAAAACATGTAGATGATTTTGCAAACAATTGAAGTATACATTATTTGTTAAAGTTATTGGAAGTTGTAAGAATTTGTTAGACGTCGACCACCAATCGCCAACCACCGTCAAAAGAGGAGACCATAACAATATGAATCAATAGATTTTTTGGGAATTTGATAAAATCAATCCCTAATTTCTTCATCTATTATAAGTTACTAAGAAATTTTTATGAATAAAAGTTTACCTTTTAAAATTTATTTTTGCTTTCACCATTTCATTCCATTCACCATTTTTATTCAAATCATATTGGTCAAAATAAAAAAGTAAATGCAAAAGTAGGTCAAATTACAATTGTAACAAATTAAGAGTATAACACATAAAAGTACACAAGGATAACTCAATATAAAAGATCTATAAGATCAAATTAGCTCATGACATCATTTTTAGTAAGGGTAAGAGTCAAAGATTTTGACATTTCTCATTGTTGGAGAATAGTGAGTTGCGTCTATGGGAGCCAATCCTCCTTGTTTCACCTCTTGACATTTTGATCTGCATTAGCACCAAACTTGCTATTAATTATGATATAATTTTCAGTATTTCCATCTAACTGCCAATTTGAAATAATGAAAATGATGAGGTGATCAATTTCACTGAATCTAAAAAAGCCATTCTGTTATAAAATATAAAATGCACATTATTCTAAATAAATACCATGTTATAATTGGCTTTATCGTTAGATTTGCTCAATAATAGAGTTTAAGCTTGCATGGAAAATCGAAACGCCAACCTATACGTATGACCAATCCCCCATACAAAAGCATCGCTTAAATATTTTCTGTTCACCTTTAGGCTGTGAAAAACATTGCAAGCTTAAACTCCCATATATATCGTACCTTGCTACATGTATGCCTGAAATCTATTTCAAGTTAGGATCATTAAAAAGGATTTTCTAAAAGCTATCATAAACGTCCAGTTAAGACTATTGAAAAAATCTTCCTAAAGTTTAAGCATAAGAAGGGCATCAGTATTCTCAAGATAGAATAATCTTTGACATCTAAAACGAGTTTGATACAAAAGTTCTTTCCGATGTACAATGTATCTATCTTTGATATGAAAATATTGACCACTATACTGTACTAATTTACGTAAACATATTTTCTAGGCTAGCTTACATATTAATGCATAATCTCTTCAATGGGATCAATTACAGGGTTGATGTTTGTGTTTTTGTCATCTTCACTAGCCATCCATCCGACAGTCAATATATTGCTCTTACATAAGTGTCCTTTCAAACAGAATGTCAACAAATTGATAGCCTTGTGTTATATTCTTTGATGAATTCCATCTTGCTTCATCAAGCTTCGGACCTATCCTCAGGTTAGACTGATAGAACGTAGTGGTTGAGCATAGGAACCGACGATGGATGAATTCCTCGAATGATAAAAGCTCGCCTTGTCTGCAACTTTTGCATTGATCAGGTTTATATGTAAGTTTGAGCCTACACATTTTGCCAATTAGGCATGGCAAATAGCCCCTTATTAATATATTCTGAGAAATGGTGCTTCAATAAGGTCAATTTGATACTTTAATTGAATTATTGGGAATAGAAATAATGGGCGTATCTCTTAATCATTAAGCATCTGAGCTTCAATATCATATAGCGGTGGGCTCCAATACATACAGAAGTATACAAATCTGATTGGCCGATTTGATTAAATATTTCCTGTATTTCCTACTGTGGGATACAGGATCTGTATTACATTCTGACAACTGGAAATCTTTGAATAAATATAATACATGTTTCCTCTAACTTTCACTCATCAAATACTAGTATCAGAAAAATTTAGATCAGAGAATAAGATATCTGAATTTTAAGGCGGACCTTAACATTTTAAACTATTAGGAAAAACAAATTTCTTACCATCTTTTCTTACGTCTTAACCTACCTTCTGACTTCCCAATTAGCTTATTTTGTAGATTTTCACAAAAATCTAGCACCTTCAATAATAATATTCTTTAATTTCTGGAACAATTAGACTCCCTGACTGAAGTTCCTTTTTATAGTTCTATTCTAGTCCATTTTTGTTACTACACTTCTACCTATAGTAGCTAGGTGTTTTAATGGGTACAAATATTATTTCAAGTGTTAGCATTGATCTATTTTATGACTTTACTTTGACCATCTTTTAGAAAAGCATATTTAAGTGAAAATGACTACAAATTAATGAACTCTAAATTTATACTGAAATTATTTTCATATGAATGATGATGAAGCTACTTTTTCTCAAGTACAACCCATTAGTAAAATAAAAAAAAACAAAAACATATACACATTTTAGATACATTTTGTTATTAATCTAATGTAAAAAAGACATCAGTTAATTCAATAGGATCACCACCAGCAGTTGAGTAATGGATAATTAAATGTGCAAAAAATAGACCATATATAAAACTAACAAAGGAAACAATACAAGTTAATAACAGTAAGTACAAAAAATCGAGATGATACTATATTTTTCATGTTTGATATAAATAGTCATTGCAGAGTAATAAAAATGGATATTTGTTAGACTCAGCATGACAAGTATGTTTTCTTTTCAAACACTGTTTTACAAATAGTGAAATCCACAAACCACATAAACATGACAATTATAAAGGCTAAACGAGGTCACATTTTTATACCCTGGATTTGTGATGATAAAATAATTTTAAAGGCATGAAAAATAAAAAGAAAATGAGTTAATTTGTACAGTGACCTCTGTATCTATTTTGAGATTTTTGGAGATTATTAATGTGCGTCTAGATGTTTGAGATTTTAATAAATTGAGGAAACCTTGAAAAAATGTCACGTTTTTGCATTATATTTGCTCTCATGAATATTTCTTAAAATTCCAACATTTCATGAAAAGCTTTTGTATGTAATTAAGGTTATTTAGCAGAAATTTTGAACAAGGAATTATCATATAAAAATATAACCACCTGCCATTTGTTACAGATGCCAAACATTAACCACCAAACGCCAACAACCCCAAAAATTGACAATATAACAATAACAAGTGGACATCCCCTTTTTCAATGCTAGTGCATTTGGACATTCCTGCGTCTTTTTCTCCTTTAAGAACCTAATGTGACACTCAAGTTAACATAAGCAACACGTAATGAACAAAGCTATAAGATATACTGGATGTTTTCTAAGAATAATCATCAATTTTCTCTTCACAAATTAGTATGTTACTAATGGAAAAATAAATTGAAGCTTTCACCAGTATATTAATGACTGGATCAATAAACACCTTCACCTTGTATTTTTCTCAAGACACGTCTCTTTAACATGTTTTACTGAGCATGTCATTGTGCTGATTTATTTCCTCAAATTAGCAATAGAGGATTCGAGGTATTAGCTGTAACATTCAGAAAGAGGATATACCGTTGAAAATAATTGCAAAATTGAATTTTGAAAATAAAATATTGTCTCTGAACTTCTGGGATCAAGTCACGTATTTACAAACAAAAACAATAACATTTCTCGATAATCATAATTTTTGGCTTGTTTTAGTGTTACTAAGAAAAATCCAATCATTCTCGTTTACGGATTTCAATCATCAAATCCCTCAATTTAATCATACACCAGGCTCTGCAGCCCTGATTTACACATTTAAGGAGTAAATGCACCAGAATATTTTGGGATTAACCATTTGAATGATTTTCATAGAGATATTTTACCTCTATTCTAATCCAACTAAGTTATCCAAATAAGTAATGAGTTATCATCTAAGTTATTTTTGTTGATTATATAAATAAGACATTTAATTTTGACTCACCAGTGTTACTCCAGACATATGCAGTGTTGTCTGCATACTAATGTAGATGTAGAATATGACAGGTCCATGGACTAGGTATAATGCATAAGTCAGTCTGCCCAGTGGCTGCCAACCCCTCCAGCTCAAGAACTCACTTATAAAACCTGGAATTTTTAATATACATGTTTGAGGCCAGGTAGAATATCACAGGTCCATGGAATAGGTATAATGCATAAGTCAGTCTAGTTGCTGCCAACCCCTCCAGCTCAAGAACTCACTTATAAAACTTGGAATTTTCACATACCATTAAAATTGGTACATGTTCAGGCCTGTAGCCAGGATTTGCCAAGGCTGGGTTCACTTTTTAAAAAATTCCAGGGGGGTTCACTTTGGACGACTTTGGCCCAAAAATGGCCACAATCACTAGAAAAGTGCTCACAATGGTGAAAAACTGCATGATTTTGAAAGAAATTTTGGCCAGGGATGGGGGGGGTCTCACTCAAACCCCAAAACTCCCCTGGCTATTGGTAGAATATTACAGCTCCATGGACAAATAATCCAGTGGTTGCCACACCAACAAACCCAATAACTAACTTAAAAGTTAATATTCTTATAAGACCTCGAATATTTACAATTTATGGTTACACTACTCAACGATGGACTATATTTTTGAGACTACCCCAACATATACCCACGAGGGTGTCTAGCGGCTTGTTTTTATAGTGTATATTATATAAGAATTATGAAATAAATAAATTGAATTGAATAAAAAAAAACAATATCTTTACTTACATTGTAGTATTTCAATTTGGTGGGAAGTTCAAAAACATAAAATTCAATAATGTCTCTTGAAATACTTCAAATGTATATGTCCATATGTATTATTTTGGAAGTACACTAACCAATAACCCATGGGCAATATACATGTACTTACTTTGTGGTCTATTCCAGGTTGCATAGATCACCCAAGCTACAGCCAGACAGTAGACAGGGTGGCAAAAACTACCATACAACACATTGCCAACCGGGCCAAGAGGGGACATAAAGTAGAACCACCATATAGTTGCTATGGCAGCAAGAGCAGACACCAACCACAGTAACTCTGACCCACTCTGAAATTGGAGACACTTGACAGTAAATTGCAACATTTGAGAAAACTTTTGAGTCAACTTGTACAATTCCAGTGATCGACATACAAAAGATTGATATACTATATTTATCAACATTTTACAACAATATGTACATTTTTTTTATTAGCCTGCATTTCAAATATTGATTAACATTTCACATGTTTCTAGGACTTCTTCTATAATGAAAACATTTATATCAACATTTTAGAGCTCCATTAAATCTGTCCAAATCCGTTAAGATTAATATAAACATTTAATTTTTTTTATATTTCCCTGCATTGTAAAAATTGACTTCAACATATCACAATATTTCAACAATAAAAATGTAACGATTTATAATCACTTAAAATAAAAGATGGCAGGGTTATTCTATGTCTTTCATAGTTACCTTTTCACAAGTTCTGTTCATCAATAAACATACTGTTGTTTAGATGTACAAATTACAAATTATGCTACACTGAGTGAAGATATGGACTGAATCAACACTATAAGTTATTGAATGATTTGAAGTGCAATACAGGATATATTCTGTTCGAGAAATTCCGTATTGGAACGAGACGAAGTCGAGTGCCAATACAGAATATCGAGACAGAATATATCCTGTATTGCACTTCAAATCATTCAATAACGTTTTTATCGTGTTATCCTCTGTATTGCTACTGAGATTGTCTCCTCCGTACCAATATTTTCTGTATTGCGACGGAGATGATCAACGCGGACAATCTCAGTAGCAATACAGATTGGTACAGCACAAGAACTGACCAATCAGAGGGCTTCATTTTACAGATCATGCGATAATATAAGTTATTGAATGATTTGAAGTGCAATACAGGATATATTCTGCTCGAGAAATTTGGTATTGGAACGAGACAAAGTCGAGTGCCAATACAGAATATCGAGACAGAATATATCCTGTATTGCACTTCAAATCCTTCAATAACGTTTTTATCGTGTGATCCTCTGTATTGCTACTGAGATTGTCCCCTCTGTACCAATATTTTCTGTATTGCGACAGAGATGATCAATGGGGACAATCTTAGTAGCAATACAGGTTGGTACAGCACAAGAACTGACCAATCAGAGGGCTTCGTTTCACAGATATACTATAAATGGTAATATTGCATTGAACTGATCAATCATGCATGGACTAGTTGACTAAACAATGAAAAAGAACTCTAATTATTACTTTATTTCTTGCAAAAAGGTTTCCTGTTAAGAAATTGAAGATAAAAATAACTTTCCATCAACACTGTTATTTTGCATCTAAATACCTGACCATTGTGGAAAATCTGTATAAAAGCACATACCCTGGAAACTGTCCTGGAAGCATAATCTTTATATTGTGTCTTGCGTTGGATCTTAGCACCCAGTAGAATACCAATGATGTATGGCACCAGTCTACAATATGGCTTGTTGAATATGACATACTCATATGTCAGTGCTGCTCTGGAAATATATGAAAATGTGTTGGATCTTAGCACCCAGTAGAATACCGATGATGTATGGCACCAGTCTACAATATGGCTAGTTGAATATGACATACTCATATGTCAGTGCTGCTCTGGAAATATATGAAAATGTGTTGGATCTTAGCACCAAGTAGAATACCAATGATGTATAGCACCAGTCTACAATATGGCTTGTTGAATATGACATACTCATATGTCAGTGCTGCTCTGGAAATATATGAAAATGTGTTGGATCTTAGCACCCAGTAGAATACCAATGATGTATGGAACCAGTCTACAATATGGCTTGTTGAATATGACATACTCATATGTCAGTGCTGCTCTGGAAATATATGAAAATGTATTGGATCTTAGCACCCAGTAGAATACCAATGATGTATGGCACCAGTCTACAATATGGCTTGTTGAATATGACATTCTCATATGTCAGTGCTGCTCTGGAAATATATGAACATGTGTTGGATCTTAGCACCCAGTAGAATACCAACCAGAACAACGGCAACGCCAAAGCGTAGCGAATCCCATCGAACAGAAATGGCTGGCATTTTTACAAATGAAATATATAGCAAATATCATAAAAACACACCAGAAAGGCCACCATTTTCAAAATGGTTGCTCACTAGTGGTTGGAAGACTGACTCGTGTACTCGAGTTTTACTCGCATTTGTCCTTAAAATCAATTGATCGAGTTGAAAACTTGAACTCACGATTTGAAAATTTTACCAAAAAAATATTTTTCACTCGTTTTCACCTTACCTTGACTCGCGATTCGTCTCTCCTATTCGCAATTTCCATGCTTATAGTTGTAATGTTCTGCTAAATCTGTATAGAATACAACTTATTTTCTATTTAATGCCATGTGCGGAAGACAAACATACTTTATTCTCCGTTCGTTATTTTTATGCAAACGTTCATTTCCGATTTGATGCATTCTGGGAATATCCAACAGCCGATTTAGACAATAAAAAGTAAAAAGTATAGAGGCACTTGAAAGACTTGATCAAATTGATGAATTCTGCTGCTACTTGGGAAATTGAAACCGGAAGTAACTCAACTAAGTCAAATCGCGAATATAATCGTGGTTTTTCATGGCCCACTCGAGTGGAGATTTTCAGGCGAGTCCGACCACTATTGCTCACTAGCCAAGTTGTCATCAGAAGAAATAATATGCTTTTAAGTAGCCACCTATAAAATTTTTGAAAAATCGCACACATGTACTTGTAAAATAACACACATAAAAATGGTGGCCATTTTTCAAAATGGCAGAATACTCCCCAAAGTTTTATTAGACAATGTGCCATGCTTAGAGTATTCACATATCAAATATGAACAAAATCGCTCCACTACTTTTCGAGTTATAGTAAAATACGTTAAAATGGCGGCCATTTTTCAAAATTTTTCAAAATGGCCACCTTCTACCAAAAGTGTCATAGGACAGTGTGCCATGCTTATAGTAATCACATACCAAATATGAACATAATCGCTCCACTACTTTTCGAGTTATAGTAAAATATGTTAAAATGGCGGCCATTTTTCAAAATGGCCGCCTTCTACCAAAAGTGTCTTTAGACAGTGTGCAATGTTTATAGTATTCACATACCAAATATGAACAAAATCGCTCCACTACTTTTCGAGTTACAGCAAAAATCGTAAAATAACGAGTAAAGGCCGCCATTTTTCAAGATGGCTGCCATGTGCTTTTTTAATATCTACATTTGTAGCTTTATTAATGTCCTTTATAATTTTTTTACACTAAAAACATATTGCTATTACAGTTTTACATATTGTACCTAAATTACTGTAAAATCGGCACTAAAATGGCCGCCATTTTGAAATGAGCGGCCATTTTGAAAATCCGCTTTCGAGCAGAACTTCTACCCCCATAGGGTATATGTGTACAAAATATGAACAAAATCGGGCCAACGGTATTTGAGTTATTGCCCGGACGGACGGACGTACGTACGGACGGACGGACGGACGTACGGACGGACGGACGGACGTACGTACGGACGGACGGACGGAGGCGTTCCCTATATCCCTCCGAACTTCGTTCGATGGGATAATGATGTATGGCACCAGTCTACAATATGGCTTGTTGAATATGACATACTCATATGTCAGTGCTGCTCTGGAAATATATGAACATGTGTTGGAAATTAGCACCCAGTAGAATACCAATGATGTATGGCACCAGTCTACAATATCGCTTGCTGAATATGACATACTCATATGTCAGTGCTGCACTGGAAGTATATGAAAATACTGTTTACAGCTTTAAATTGCTGCTATCACCACAACCTGGTTGCATCAAAATGTAACTATTTGTGACATACACTGGGCACTGAACACTGAATGCCATTCACACTAATGGTGACAATATGCAAATATAATTATTTGGTAAAGTAATCAAGCAGGACGGATGGTTCTTGGCTCTCTCTGCTGAGCTAAACACACAAACAGCTTTTCAAGTGAATGACATTAAAAATGTGCAATTGAAGATCATTTCTCAATCAAGTGTTGAACATTCTCTGCTTTATATCTCCATTTGTTCTATTCATCGCAATGTTATTGATCATATTTAAATGTTTATTAAACTATGAAATGAAAGAAACCATACACTCCCCTTCAAAAAGTTGGCAACTTTGACTCTCATTTGATAGCATGTCAAAATTTTTATTATACGACTGACCTTTTTATTTTGATTGCTTTATAAAAATCACATAAACAGGCTTTAACATGTGTTAAAGGGGAGTTAGTTTTGCCAAACTTTTGGAGGGGAGTGTACACTGTACCTGTGATTGCCTTCAATTACAGTCCCTGTGAGATCAATATCTATATTATTCCATCCTATCAGCCCTGCTGTGACACACACACTCAACACGAGAAAAATGTTGTTCATAAAACACCCCCATTTGTATGTCCTATAATGTAAAGATTGAAATAAATGAAACGAACATTGCAACGTTAAATTTGATATTGGCTTGAAGAATGTGTTGACTAATTGAAGCAACTTATAAATTGTGTGAAACATATTTAAAATGAAAGATCATTTGATTTCCTTAAAACTAAAATTCATAAGATAGAATAAAAATCTGTCTACGTGTATCTCATTTTGGGGTATGAGGCTCTGAAAATGAAAATAAACAAGTGAAAATCACAAATTCCTCCAATTCATATGAAAACTGGTTGCAAATTAAAGTACATGTACGTATATAAGCATTTTATATAATAAGTAGATATATTGTCAGTCAAACATGTAATTAAAATTATTCTCTGTTCATATGAAGACTCACTTGTATATGAGGAATATGAGAATTGGACTGAAAAGCATCAATTGGAAGTCAGTTGCTATATACCATGTCCATCCAATACACTGAAAGTAAAAAACATCAATTAAATTAATTGTACAGTCTCTTTATTAAATTGAAAGTATGATTTATTTATCAATTTGTAGTGTACTAATTCTGAATATTAACATTCTTGAGAAAAACCATATTTTTCATTACATGTATATTTGTGTGTCGTAGCCGAGTGTCTGCACATTGAATACAAATATGCAGAAAGGGTTATATTGATTCAATTAATTAATTGTTTTACAATATAACTTTTATATATGATTAACTTCAACTTTCAAGGCCTGATAATTTCTTTATTGAGTTATCACACTCTAGTATGAATAGGAAATCCGGTTATGGTGACCCAATAACTCACACTGTAGTGCCATATACTAAATATAACATTTATTTGGGTTCTGAGAACTGTTTAACATAAAATATACAAGAGCATATTCATATTCATATTCAAGTAAAGGTTTTAAGATTTAAAACTAGTGTCAATAGGAAACAGGTTTGAGCGACAAATAGACATGTACACTATACAGTTACCAGGTTTGGTACACCACTGGCATACATAAAATTAAGTTAGATTTAAAAGATGGCATCATTTAAAGAAGATCGTTACAAAACTGCTCTTACATGCGGAATATGCCAGGACATTCTGACTGAACCAAGGGCATTGCCATGTATGCATGCTTACTGCTTGAAATGTCTTGATGGCCTTATACAGAAGGGTCAGCTACAAGGAGGATCTTTCAACTGCCCAGAATGCCGTCATGTATGTACAATACCACAGGAAGGGGTGGGAGAGATCAAGGTGAGCCCTACGATTTCCTTCTTGGTAGATGCCTTTAAGGACAGCCAGCAGACCAAAGAGGCAGAATGTGATACATGTCGTGAAACACATGAAAAACATACTCCAGCATCAACCCATTGCTTAGAATGCAATAAGAAGTTCTGTGCTACATGTCGAAAGATGCACAACTCCTTGTTGAAAGGTCACAAGATGCTAAACCTTACAGGTGATAGTGCGGAAGATCTACAAACTGCACTTCAGTCTATACAAGAGCGTACTGTGTACTGTCAACAGCACCCTACTAAACCACTGGAAATCTACTGTAAGGTGGACAAGGTAGTCTTATGTTATCTATGCTACACACTAGATCACCCTGGCCATGCAGCTGAAGACATTAAACAAGCGTCTGCCACAAATGTAAAACATATAGGTGAGGTAATAGCAAAGGGGAACAGCCTTGTAGACATATATGATCAGGTCATCAAAGAAACGATCAACTATAAAAGTCAACTGGAGAAAAATGTGGAAGAAATCACAGTTGAAATAAAAGATGACTTGAACACTTTGACCCAAGCTGTTGACAAGGAATACAAGTCAAATACTGAGAAATTATTGGGGGAAAAGGAATCCAATGTCAAGCAGGTTATGTCCCACATTGGCCACCTGGAGCTTCAGAAGGCAATAATCAAGGGCCAAGTCAATAAGTTCTGCACCATGGAAGAGCATGGCCACCCTGTTGAAATAGCTGGTCTTGGGGAGAAGATCAATCAGAAGTTGGAGGAATGGTCAGCAGAACCCGATATAGCCTTCACCACCAAACTGAACTTTAAATTAAGTAAAGGAAAATGTTTCGAGGATGGAGTTGACTTTGGAATGATAACTGACATGAACAATCCCAATGATATTGCAAAAAAGACCAGAGTCCAAGCTAAACAAGAAGAGGTAAGTGACCAGAGGCTTCAGATTTTATAATTTTTCGCAACTGACAATATCGCTTGTCTCCTTATACAGAGATAACATACAGGGTGTTCCAAAAGTAACAGGACTGGTGCTGGCATTTTGTCAATTCTAAACCGAGTGTGTTCAAATTTTTACAAATTGTACTTTGAAGTAGTGCAACTAAAATTGTAAAGTTTCAGAAAAAATGATAAAATGCAGGTAAAGTTATGGTAACTATAGTAACGTGACATCACAATACCCGGGGCAACTTTTTCATGAAAATGTAATATCTACATTTTTATATTAGGCCATAAGAAGTAGATTCTTTGTTTTGCGTCCCCTTGCTTGCACGATTTTGAGTAAATCAGAAAAAACAAACACATCCAAATAGCAATCACAAGGGTCTGAAAGTACCATCGCATTTCGTTCAATCAGAATCAGTTGAAATGACTGATAATTTGATGTGCCTCAAAATTGACAGTGTTATTGATTATTTTGGCATTCATTGTTTATTTTCTTATTTTTACTCTTGAATAATAGCTATATGTTTGAATATAGTGTATAAAATATATAGATATGTGTTTGTTATCACTACAAATTGGTATGTCATCCTTTTTTATGCCCTTGAAATGTATTCATTTCTCAGCAAACAAGTTTGTGTTTTTTCTTGAGTTTGTGTTTGTTTTCCTTGTTCCCTTGCATGATTTGGATTTTGTCGGGACGCAAAACAAAGAATCTACTTCTTATGGCCTTACTGAAGAAAGTATCTAATTCACCTATAACAATGCAACATTTCTTGTTTGTTTTATTAGTTGCTTTATAGTTATGGTGTTGCTATACAACTCAGATTCAAGTATGATTTCATAATAATAATATTTATTAAATTTCCTGAAATATCATTATGTATAACAGTCTGCACAATTCACTGTTGAGTTTTTGAAATGACCCAATTTGAAGCCAGTCATCCACCTTGATAAGGCGTCTGTCCACAAGTCAGCATTAAAGACCACTGCAGCTATAGCAGAGCTACGTCTTGAGGTCTAAGACCATGCACCATACTCTCCTGATTATGCAATATCTAGTTTTTACTTTTGTATGGAGAATGGAATGCTTATCAGCGCGGTAAGACCTTTAAAGATGAGAATGACCTCCAAGTTGTCCTATCGACCCTGTGTGACATGTCACCAAATGGGTTCACTCATATGTTTGAGTCATGGATACTGAGTGCTACTCTTGGACTGACCAAAGAGGACCCTACTTTTTAAAGAAGAGGATACATAGGAATATCATATGATGTATTTAGCAAATGTAATTCCCACCAGTTGTTGGATTCTAACTTTGATATGGGATGTACAAAATGCTTAAAGTCTCTGTAAATTTCTGCGTAGAATGTTGCCCCGGGTATTGTGATGTCATGTTACCATAGCAACCATAACTCTACCCCAGTTTCATAATTTTTGTTGAAACTTTGCAGTGTTAGTTACAATACATGGAAGTACATTTTGTAATATTTTGAAGAAGATTGGTGCATATTCAACAAAATGCCAGCACCAGTCCTGTTACTTTTGGAACACCCTGTAGTGCCATATAAGACGCTTTAACAAAATGTCCACTAGACAGTATTTCAAAGAGAACCCCTCTTTCAGCTATTTATATCATAAAGATAAGGAATAAGAAGGAATTGTCACAGTTTTACAATAAACCAGTATTTTCACACTGGAATAGCCTGACAACTGTAAAGTCAGATACTGTTGTCACAAATGGCGGACATAACCGTCGTTTCAACTGTTTTTAAATCACTTGGTCCTCATTTCATGGGATTTTATGGTTGCTAATTCTGTGCATGCATTAAGCTCTTGTGATAATGTTCCATATGAAATCCCATTTTTGATCAAATTGGGTCATGAATCGGTACGGTACAATATAGCGTCTTCGATTATCATCAATGACAACGGAATCTGAATTTGAGTAATTTTGAAAGAAAACGGCATATGGTAAACGTACCCTATTTTTGTCTTATATTTTTTTAAACCTAATAATGGTAAATAAATCTTTGGAATATAATATCATTTTTGTGGAGATCAATTCCCAAAACTGGATCCCTTGTTTAGTTGTTGTGCCTAAATCTGCTACTCATTTTTGACATATACAGTATGGCCTCTGATGGCTTCATTTCAGGTTGAACTATACAAAACAAAATATGAACAGGAATGTGTTGCAAGAGAGAAGCTTCAAGAGGATAATAAACGCTACAATGAAGAAATAACAAACCTCAAGGTGCTTAATCAACAGCTAACAGAGAAAGAACGTGTTGCAAATGCGAAGCTTCAAAAAGAGAAAAAACCCTACAGTGATGAAATAACACACCTCAAAATGAGTAATCAACGCTCTCCGCGATCTATGTTTGGTTCATCTCAGCAAAGTCCTGGGACAGAACTTTCCCCAAGATGTAGAACAGAGCGTTATAGCAGGGTGGTTACGACAGATGAGTCTGGGAATGAGTTTGGGAATCGACTTAGAAAATATTGAAAATTGTAATGTCTGAAAAACCAACTCAATCACACATATTATTAAACTTCAATATCTTATCCTTCTTCTGAGATTACAAAAATATCAATTTGTATCACAATTGATGAAGAATATTGGCATCAAAGACAGTGCATATCACTTTGTCAGAATTGAATAAAAAATCAATGGCAAATATTAAATGAATTTTTTATACAAAAACTTTGAAACATATCCTTCAAAACATTGCTTACTTTCTTTGTATAGACATTGAATGGTATTTCTGGATAAGTAAATTGGTGTTTATCTGGGTAATCAAGGGATTATAGTCACTCAAAGTTACTGAGCATCCAGTTTTGAGACGTCAATTGTGTTGGTGAAGTTACACATATTTCAGTCGAATTCATGCTATGCACAACATTTTGGTTTCAATTTTATAATCTCTATACATGACCCTGTACTGGTGATGATGAGTCAGAATCAGTCAAAAAACCTACACCGGAAAACTGTGCTCATTGTGAAAACTAAACGTGAAGCAACTTTTTTCTGATATTTCTTACATCAAATAGCAGCCATCTTGTTTTTCCCCCTTCAAATTAAACTGGCGGGAAATTCAAAAATTTGAAAAAATTTAATCCTAAAATATATTTCAAAAATATGATTTTCTTTTTAATTCTTCATGGGTCTTCAGTTATTTCTTCTTTGTATGTCATACATGTTGCCATTGGTGTTTTTTTCTTTGATAATGACTAATTATTTTTTTGTTAGGATACTTATTCTGACTCTCAGCAGGGGGTTAATTATGCATCAAAAGTCATGAAAAAGTAAATATACTTATCAAATATAACTAGGACAGTAATAAAAACCATATTTCACATACATTTGACTGAGGGACCAAAAGGGCATATATCCAGACACATCCTTTAGAAATTTGTTTATTTTTGTCATTAGGGCATGGTCTACATTGCCTAACGACCTCGGGGTTTATGCGGATGTAACCTACATACAATCATAAAAAGCCAATTAAGCATTGGAAACCGCCTAAAATGTTCTTCTTAAGCCATAATATTGTATTTTTAATTTGCGGTTACGCAAACCTCGTTCAAATATGTATCTCAGATTCATTGTTATCAATTTTGTCATATTCATCAGTACTTGATGCTAATTTTTCTTTTGCCTCTTCATTGCTATATTTTTGACTTAAATTGGTTTCATAAATAAAGCAAGACACAATTTTTTCCTTGCCCTATAGAGGCTCAAACAAGAGCGTCTCTTGTGAGTCTAGAAAACAAATATAAGCAATTCAATATTCCATTTCTTACCCATTATAACAATTACATGGAAAGAGGCTATCAGAACTAGCAACCTTGACTTGAAAGATGTACAGTACATGCACGTAACCGTCTGCTAAATATCTAATGTACATCTAATACAATACGTTACCGTCAATAGAATTCATACGTAGTCGTCTAACGACGTTGCGTTTGAAACCTTATTATTTACAATATGACCATGTTCCTGTTCTGGATTTGTCATATTATTGCTTGTTTATACACAGTTTACTTACTGTTAATAGTTTGAGTGGCTCTGAAGCACATATACAGAGAAATCACGAGAATGGACTAAAAATATGAACTTGGACATCTCAGTCGGTAAGTTTACAGCTTATATTCCGCTTCTAGTAAACCACCTAGCAAATTTGACCCAGTCTTTATAACCATCCATATATACGTCAACGAATGGAACTAGTTGCAAAAGAAATCTTATCTGTGAATCTTGCCTACAGGTGAGAAAGAGGACATGGTGTCTTTCCCATCTGCCATTTTTTGTTATCGCAAATTGCCTTGACGTAACCGTCATGCTATAACACTGTGTAGAAGGAACTTTTAAAAAGTGACACAACAAAGTGTTGCAATAATATTTGCCTATGTTTGGGTCAGTATATCTAGACTTTTATAAAGGAATATTCAATTCAATTGTTTTTCCTGACCACACTGCCCATTTGTTTCATGAAAATGGGACTTCTATCTGCTTTTACGATTAAATATCACCTACCTGGTAAGCAGGATTTGTAGGGTAGAAATTCTCTATATACAAAATATTGGTCCACCAATATTCTTGACATGCAGTCTGATCTTGTAATATAAACCATTGTGGCCCTGACCCTGTTTCTGGTAACACAAACATCCACATAAACATAGTGAAAGCCATCAGTGGGGTCAGTCTACAAGATAAACATTTGGATCTGTGAGCTATAATAACCTAGATGCGAGAAGATTTTTAACACCAGGTGGCTTAATTGGGGCAGATAACATGCAAGGGTAGAAAGTTCCCATAAACTTGAAGATTCTTCAGTTTCAGTGATTCAATTTTCATATTACCTTTATGTATCCGATATTTATTATACAAATAAAAAAATGTCCAGTAAAGAAAATATTCTATGTCCGTTAAAGTGTGCGCCTGACCCGGCTACGTATAGCACAGAGTTTATACTGGCGGATTAGACTAGTTCATTTTTTATATGTGTGTGAAAGCTTTCTCGTATTTGCGTTTTTTCGTTTAGTACGGTTTTGCTATAATTGCCGAGGACATATAACCGGGATAAAACAATGATTTTCGTTGACTGCCCACACACAAAACATACGTTGAGTGAACAGTGTTATTACAAACAACAGGCTTTAGAATACAAAGCGTAGTGTGATAATAAGCTGTACACTACCACTGCTGCATGTACATATTACTAATTTACTAGGGCTCTCAAAGAGTGGATAGGGAGGTTGTGTTTGTCACTTTTAAATTTTACATTTCAAAATTGTCATTTTACATGTCATAATTTGTTGGTTTCATTCGTTTAGCCAATCAAAACATTGTAAAACAATAGTTGTCTGTTACGTACAATCAATTTTGTTCAGTTTTGATTAGTTGTCAGAATAAAGTTACGTTCATCTGAATCCATGTATCAAAACAAAAATCCTATTTTCACTTCAAAATACTTCAGTGAGATGAAGGCTCGGAATTGTCACATGCAATAACTTATTGTCGTATTCGTTATTTTATCTTCTCGATAGTAGCATTTAGTCGCACATTTGATGCCAGGTCACCTTGTCGCGTACCTCTTGGGGAACCCCACATTTATGTGTGTACTCATGGAAGTAAATTCCCCGGTGTAGCCGAGAGCCACAAACTTTTCAACAGGTTCGAAATGACCAATTTCTCTCATATATACTCTAAATATTTTATTATTTAGCACCTACAAAGTATTGCTAATAACCACGAACCATATGTAATTTAAATAAGGAAACTTATCTGGCTACATATAAATTTAATATCAACACTAGCTGTTCTCTCAACACGTCCTGGCTTACCTTGTGGTGACAAACCCTGGATTTTCGCTATTTATAGTTTATCAACACCTGGACGCATGCGCATTTTATAGTTTATCGGGCACTTTAAAGTCCCCGATAAATCGGGCTACGTATACCGCCGTGTTTACATTAGGGGATTAGAAGAGTTTATTTTTTATTTAGGTATGCAAGCTACGTATATCAATATTAGGCCTTCATTCATGCAAGGGCGAACGTAATACCCAAATCGTTCGCAAATTGGCGTTCGGTTTTTTACCGCATCCAATTTGAATTAGCCAATCAACAATAAACATATTGTCTAATGAAGACCAAACAAAGCCCCGGATGTCATGTCGTTTCTCGTTTCGTTTGGTACACAACTAAGCCCCGGGTATTAAATAAGCCCTTGATTCATGTACTCGTGTGCATGTAATCAGCATGCCCTTCAATATTATGTAAACCAGGCTATTCAAGTACTGTATAATGTACACTATTTATGTGTGTACTACATACAATACAATTCCCTGGGAAACAAAACACAAATACTTTTTATATGTTCAAAATGAGCCATTTGATTGATGCAAACACTAAATAGCTTCATAAATAACATCTACAAAGTATATCTAATAGTAATTTTCAATTTCAATGGTGAAACTTCCCTGGTTACGATTATATGGGAAATCATCACGAGACGAAGATCGTTCGCCTTCCTGGCTTACCTCTGAATCGTGTACCTGTTAATCTCTTTATATAGTTTAGCGAGAGCGGTGCGCCTGCGCAGTTTTAAACTTTGGCGCACACTTTAAAAGAAAAGATATTTCATTTTCTGTGATTTTATAACATGGTGTCTATGATGAATCTCCCTGACCTCAAAGTCACATTTTCAAAGAAAAATAAATTTCAAGTTGATAAATACTTTTCGACATTTCTAGATTTTACATGTAGATCTCAAGGTATGATATTACTTTGACTGAATTTTAGATTTTTAGTGACATAAATCAAGATTATTTCTTCTCTCATCTAGTCTACTGTGGCCCAAGCCCTCTATGAACTAAATATCAATTTAGAATACACACACCATTAAAATTTCAAATTCATTTATTGGAGAGAAGTCAAGGGGGAAGTTAAGTTCACCTTGGATGTAGATATTAAATATATTCACCCTCTGTAGTCTGCATATATTCAATAAAATATATTAAAAAAGCCATTGTGTGGAATTAATATAGCATGATTTATTGACTAGTCACATAAATAACATACAGTTTCACACCTTACACCTGCATATAAAATAACCATTTGTTTAAATATCATTTTATTTCAATTTGTGCCTCTTTAAAATATACCTCCAATCATGTTTGTTTCTGATGTTTCTTAAATTTGAATGAAGGATCTGATTTTCTTGCATTTCTATGTAATATTGAGTTTTGACTACATGTCTGTTTACTTTATCCCTTGTTAATTCCTCTTTTTGTTATTTAATTGAGGATTTCAAAACTCGACCACCATGATATTTCACTTCAATTTAATTGCTCATTTAGCACCTGTTTAATTGCCTTAAAACATGCTGTGTGTTGTTTAAGACCATGTGTAAGGATCATAACATCCTTCAAGGTTGTACATCATAAAATGATATCAGTCATTATGCCATAAATAATAGCATATTCTTAGAGAAAAATGATCAATTTAAACAGAACAAGTGGGGAGTCTAAAAGAGTAGCTGAGTTTCCAGGTCTAAATCTTATTGTGAAGACAATTTCAGAAAAACTGATTGACACATTACATCTTTGGTCCTTAGTTATGCAATATTGAATTAGATAATCATGTGACAGTGACATCTTATATCAGTTCTTGATCTGAATTTCTATACAATGCTCTATGATGATACAACTGTTTTTCCTTTAAATCCTTTGCCCATTCTGATTTATCAAACTCTCTGAAGCGTGTCTATTCCAAAAGATAGTAAAGACCCATAATGTCTTTCGCCATTACATAATATCTCAATACATTATAGGTCCTGCAGATAATTCATTGAAATAATCATTTAGTTTCACTCTTTTTTGTCAGAACTTTTATACAATGCTTGATAATGTGTCTGTTATTCAACTGTTTTTCCTCAAAACAACTTTCACTTCATAAAAAATCTCCTAACTATTGAATGACACATCTTTGGTCCTTAGTACAGTCATAACTTATTGAAAGTAACCATTTAGTCACTCTATACTGAAGTAACCATTAAGTCACTCTATACTGAAGTAACCATTAAGTCACTCTATACTGAAGTAACCATTAAGTCACTCCGCTGAAGTGACCATTAAGTCAATCTTTCATCTGAATTTTTATACAATGCTTTATAGTTTGTCCATTATTCAACTGCTTTTCCTCGAAGCAACTTTCCCGTAAAATTTCCTCGATTGAGTGACAAGTCTTGGGACCTTTACGGTCATAGTCCCTCTCCACAGTGAATAGTCTGATCATCTGGCAATAGGCAACAAGAAAAATGAACATAAGCACACCAATGACGATGGCGAGGATGCTGACAGAGCTCAAGACAAGCATCATCTTGTAGGTGATGAAGACGAGGAGACAGCCAGTGAAGATGGTGAGAAGCTTTCTCACAAACCAAGATGTAAATACACAATTAATCCTGACCATTTGTTAGGCCACAGGATTAGCTTAATTGTAAGCAATAGGCAGGTATACACCTGGAAGACACTGAAGATCTTTTTTGTAAAATTTGGTAAAAGTTTTCTTGTTTTCGATGAACCTTGGATTTTTATTGTTTGTATTTAAATACTACAGTATACCAAGGCTAAATCAACATAATTAACCAGTATTCAAATTCTGGATGTTAAACCCAATAACCAGTGACGTCAGAGTTTATGTGGTGTGGCCTTATATTTCAGCTTTAAATCAAGGTTTTTCCTTATCCCTATACTTCCTTACAATAAACACACTAATAACTTATATTTTGAGTCTTTGGCTTGGCCTTTTACTTTATTGCGATAAACACACTAACAACTTTTATTTCGAGTCTTTGGCTTGGTCTTTTACTTCCTTGCGATAAACACACAAATAACTTAAATTTCGAGTCTTTGGCTTGGTCTTTTACTTCCTTGCGATAAACACACAAATAACTTATATTTCGAGTCTTTGGCTTGGCTTCAGATCATCTCCATGTGTAAACAGCAGAATAAATCGACAATATGTTATAAGACAGCATGTGAACAGCAAACAGATCAGCATTATAAGACCAGCAATATAGAACAGCATAACATGCAATAGATCAGCATTTTAGATTTAATGTCATGTGCACCTAATTTAAGATAATTTTCTTATATCGATATCCATTTTCAGTTCTTTTAGCTCCATATTTTGGTAAATTATTATTTCATATCTTTTGGCCGTCAGTTTTTTCAGTGTCTATGAAACTCAGTTCAAACCTTTTCTAAAATTCCAAAATGCTGACATTGTAATGATTATAATGTTTAATTTTATGTCTCAATATTTTAATGTGTGTTTTATGAGCCATTATGAGAAGACACCTGTTGGTAATGATTGTTTTAAGATCCCATTTAGAGTTTGGACTGTCACTTAAAGGAAACATGAAATAAATCTTAGATTTTAAATGTCTAAAACAGTAGAATTATAGCACTTTGCAAGTGTGCAACCTGCAATCTTGAAATGTTTGATAAAAGAAAATTATTTTGCCCTTGCAAAATGTTGTCATTTGAAAACTTTATATTTTTTTATTGTGTACATAGAATAAAACCTGTCTAAGTGGAACACCTTTGGTTTCTCTAAAAGGTGTTCCACTTATAGGGGTTCACTAAGTCAGTTGGTCTTGGGAAAAGTGTTCCACTAACAGAGGTGTTCCACTGTACCAGTTTCACTGTAATGTGGTTCAACATACACATATTCATTGAATCCCTTTAATTTGGAAACGAAGAATAAATATATGATCTTTATCATTTAGAATAAAATCTCCTTGATTAGAATGATAATATATGAATCAAAGTAAAATATGGACATCTTCATTCATGGCTTGTATCCAAATATAGGTCAACTGTAAATTGTAATTATATGAACCTTATCCTGCGACTGGTATTGGATGGATGAATTTAGTCTTGCTTCAATACTCTGGACCCCTCCCTATCTACTTCAATACAAGTGTTGGACTGTAATGGTGGGGGGGGGGGGGTCAAAAGGGATTGTAGCTAGACTAGAATGAACTGACTCGGCTTCTATATAATACCCCTATCCCTTCATCAGATGGGATAATTGGTAAAAGTGCTCACCTAATGTATCTGTGCAGGTACATCTTCCAGACTGGAAAACTGCCTCCTGTTCTATGTAAGTGCTGTAGAGTGTGGTAGGAAAGGAGCAGTCCACTGCAAGATAGCATATTACATGTATTATATTTCAACTCTGGGATTCGGTTTTTGTACGATCGTTACTTACAATTCCAAGAAAACCATTGCCTACTTCTGGTCTACTTTTTGACAAAATATGAATTCCGACCAAATGGCAAGTTATGACAGTTCAAAAACTGACCATGGACCCCAAAGGTAGAAGTAATTTTTATCTGATCTGAATATATTTTGGGAGAAGTATGTATGTCCCAAAATGCTAAAAATTCTTTTCTACTCATAACATGCAATGATCTCCCAAGGATTTTAAAAAAACTAAGGCCCCTAAATCTAAATCAAGCTTTGGGACTCAATTTTGAACTTCCCTTTAGCTAAAATAAAAAGAAGAGCTCCAGCTGATGAGAGACAGCTATAAACCAAACATCCTAAATTAGTAATTATACATACAGTATGTAGATTTGCTGGATCAAAGCAAAATGAGAGCAATTTGGACCTCTACAAGTGGAACACCTCTTTTTCACTGTTTTCGGAGTAATTTAGAATTCTCACCTTAGGAGAAAAAATGTGTCAACTGAGAAGTAAGCATTGTAGATTGGTTGGAACCACCACTTGTACACAATATTGACCACATGCTTGTTGTTGTCTGAAACACAAGAAAGGGAATAATGAAATAGTTGCATTTCAACTTTATGCCCCATGTGGCAAAATTGAGGTTATGTTACGCCTAGCTGCTTTGAAAAATGTTGATATTTTTACATATTGTAGATTTAAATGTTCTCTTTTGAATATTCTTCTGAAAACCCATAATTCAATTTGGGTGATATTTCTAAATTTTTCATTAAAAGATTATTAGCGCAGTAGACTGATAAACTTCGTCCTCCAAACTGAGACTTGTCTTTTATTGAATCGGTCTACTGCACTTTACGCCTGCTTCGGTCAATTTTGATATTTTTACATATTGTACATTTAAATGTCCTCTTTTGAATATTCATAATTTAATTTGGGTGTTATTTCTATATTTTTCATAAAAAAATTATCAGCCCAGTTGATTGTTCTCCAAACAGAGACTTGTCCTTTGTAAAAATCAACATTCTTTTCTAGTGAAATCTTCATTTACCTCAACCCCATTCACAAAATTAATGTTGTTAATCCACAACTGTTGACAACTTGAGCCCATCCCCATACTGTTCACTGGCGGATCCGGGGGGGGGCATGGGCCTTTTTGGTCATTACTAGGCCTTCTAAGGCCTTATTTTGAAATTTCAGGCCAAATTTTGAAGAAAATGGGCCTCAAAACTTCAAAATTTGGGCCCACTTTTCGGTTTTAGGGACCCAAAGTTTTTTTCTCTGACTGGATCCGCCCCTGCTGTTACACCAGTGTATTCATTTAGTGATAAATAATACCTTGATAGATCAACATGGCCTATCTTTAAAAAAGCTACCCATTTTGACTGTCACTAGATCAACATGGCCTATCTTTAAAAAAGCTACCCATTTTGACTGTCACTAGATCAACATGGCCTATCTTTAAAAAAGCTACCCATTTTGACTGTCACAAGATCAACATGGCCTATCTTTAAAAAAGCTACCCATTTTGACTGTCACTAGATCAACATGGCCTATCTTTAAAAAAGCTACCCATTTAGACTGTCACTAGATCAACATGGCCTATCTTTAAAAAAGCTACCGATTTAGACTGTCACAAGATCAACATGGCCTATCTTTAAAAAAGCTACCCATTTTGACTGTCACTAGATCAACATGGCCTATCTTTAAAAAAGCTACCCATTTAGACTGTCACTAGATCAACATGGCCTATCTTTAAAAAAGCTACCGATTTAGACTGTCACAAGATCAACATGGCCTATCTTTAAAAAAGCTACCCATTTTGACTGTCACTAGATCAACATGGCCTATCTTTAAAAAAGCTACCCATTTAGACTGTCACTAGATCAACATGGCCTATCTTTAAAAAAGCTACCGATTTAGACTGTCACAAGATCAACATGGCCTATCTTTAAAAAAAGCTACCCATTTTGACTGTCACTTTAAGCTGTACAGCACAATTCAGTGACAGCTACATGTATAACTTGGCTGAGAATATGCAGCTGCAAAAGTCTGATGATCAGAGACTTCACAAACATGGAGGAAAACAAATAACATTGGAACATGGAGGAGACAGCTTTTCAGAAATATCGTGATGCTTCTATTATTATTATATTTGAATTAAAATGATAACATGGAAAAGAAAAAAACATGCACAATGTTTTAGCAAAAAATATTGTATCATCGAGAAAGATGTTATTAACTTAATATCTCTTGTTTTTGTTGTCCCTTTAATGTTTTAAATGCAGTAAACAATACTGATTCTATTTGACAAAGTATCCTGAAATTTAATCATACATTGTGTTAGTTTACCTGTACTTAACACACATTTATATGATATACAATTAAGTGATGTACATGAACAGCATGTATTTCAAGTCAGAACACAATCAAGCTGATGAGCTAATAAAAGATTCACATTTTATTACAATTAGCATGGTTCCCTGGGGGGGGGGGGGGGGGGCTCAACATCCAAAACAGATGCATACCATACCTAATGAGGTTCTCAGAAAACTTTTTAAGAACTCTTTTAACTTAATAGATAAAAAAATTCAAACCATCCATAAAGTATATATACTTTAAATTTTACAATTATCATTAAAAAAAATTTATGGAGGGGGATCAGGATGATGATATGGTTGTATGTCCTGGACCATGGCAATAGAAGGACTTATAAGAAATATATATCCAGCTCCCTTGGCACACTGCATATCCCTACATGTTTTGTCCCTAGAACCTCTATATACCCCCTGGCAAAGATACAGTTTTTCACCATTCTGAGCACTTTCAAAGTGATTCTGGCTATTTTTTGGGCAAAGTTGTCAAAAAGACCCCCCCTGGATTTAAAAAAAAAGTGAAACCCCTTGGCAAATCCCAGCTACGGGCCTGTGTTTCACTTACAGATGTTCATTTTATGTCAAGTGAATGGGAAATAGGACTTTGGAGTATTCCTCTTACGGCAGTGTTCAACCTTATGTGTTCTACTTTACAGGTTTTAATGTAATCTACAACTCCTTGCCTGAAATGTACCTGTTTACAATTTATGCTTTAGCAACTTTTGATGGCACTTTATAATGAATCTAACTAATGAATCCCTAACAATTAAACATTAAAGCTGGACTTCCCTCCGAAACGCAATCTTGGGTTGTTTCGGGGGTGAACTTTATCATTTTGAGCTTAATGAAAGATTATAGAATGATGAACAAATGGGGCAAATCTTGTGTAGAAATACTTACGATAAATGTGTCATTTCAAAGATTTTTCATTGAATTTGCTTCGATCGGAGCCGGCGATATGATTTTGGAAAGGTTTCTAAATGAAGAACGTGACGTCACTTCCGAATCATAGCATTCAAAATAAGTAGCGTTTAATTACTCCCACTCTTCACAAGAACTCGGTGGTGCAGTGGTAGAATCCTCGCTTAGTGCGCGGGAGGCCCGGGTTCGAATCCCGCACTTGCCTTTTTATTTTTTTAACTAAATCATTGTTCTTTGATATTACGCAGAAAAAACAATTTTTATTTACATAAACTTTATATTAGAGCTTGAAAATGTAAAAACAATATATGTCAACATATTGCGTTTTGGAGCGATGTGCAGGTTTAAACATTTGACTTTCCAAGGATTTTATAATAACTACTTGGGTCTTTTTCACTATTTTGTAAATGTATTTACAGTATATAATTCTCATATAAGGTAATGAAATGCTGGTATCAAGTAGACTGTGCTAATTGAGCCGTGACAGGTGATATGAGGGCTACATGTTCATAAATTTGATTATTAGAATTTAAGTATTGCTTTCCCTTGCTCAAATAGCACTCAATAAATACTTTTCTTTTCTATTTTTTTGTATAAGTTGAAAAAGTTTATATTTTCTATTCATCATTTTTATTCAATTTAATGACTGAACTTAAATAAGTACCTAAAATAATTTATTTTTCTGAGGTCACTTTTTGTTTTATTTAAGTTTTATTCAAATTTCCACAGGTATTTAACCAATGGGTTTTGATATCTATGCCAAAAGTGTTGTCATCATTTTTGAAGATAAAACCAGTTGGAAATTTTGCAGCCGTTATATCTGACTAGCTGCTCCATTGGAACGCAACAAGTCTTACTGATCAACTGATATTTTTGGGACAACACCTTAAAAAGCAAAATGGTAAGTTTTTTGTTGCTACTTCGTTGTCTACTATTCTAGTCAATCCAATTAGATAATTTTTGTACCATCATTACCATCATGTTAATTTATGATTTTGCAATTGCAATTTAATTTATTTTGTGGGTATTTTCTAATTTTACAGTTCAATTTTATTTATTTTGGGGTAATTTATAATCCTATATAGTTTACTTTCAATAATCCATGGGATATTTAGTTTACTTTTAAATTTTTGGGATCTGTATCTTATTACCTTGCAGCTAGTTGACTTCTATTTTGGTGGTTAATTAATTAGGTATTACATAACTGTGCATACATTTAACTGTTGGTGTACATGTTTACTGTATAAATCACCATTAACAAATTAAAATGTATTCATTGGGTTTTATATGGCATACTGTGTTTCAAGTATCACAGATTGTACAGTATTTCTCAGAGGAAAAGAGTGTGTAAAATGTTTGTGTGGCAATCTTTAAAAAAATTGAGCCAATGTTTCTCAATTACAATTCTTATTTTATTTTCTGAAAAAATGAGGCTGCAGAAATGTCAAAACACATTGTCAGATAATGTTAAAAATCATAAGTATTATCCTGACAGAAATTCAGAACTGTTGGACTTTTAAAAAAGGCATAACATGAGTGGAATAATCACATAATTTCTTTTTTAAAATGTAAATTTCTAATTAACAAGCCAGTATCAGTCTCGAAGACAGCTATATCAGCTATATCATTTTAGCCTAAACATTATAGTCATAAGATTGTGAAGATATTGAAAATTACAAATTTAAAAACGTATTTTGCAATTTGAATTCATTAGAAGATTGGCAAAAAACTGAGCCGGATGTGAAGAAGGGGAAGATTAAAGCGGGAACATTGCTTAGCTAAAATCATGGATAAGTGCCATGAATCGATCTAGATCATTCAAACTGTGAACCCCATATAACAATACCATGTAATGTCATAGCAAGAACCCTGTAGCTTTCACCAATCCAAAACTTGGCAATTCTGGTATATTGCATACCACATATACAGATATAGCTCTACTTTGTCTTGGCAAACTTTCTTTCAGTTTCAAGTGATATCCTGAACTGCCAAAACAGCTAGATTTCATGGTTCTTATCACAAAATGTATGCTTTGAAAAGAAATGCTATAATTACTTCCAAAGCCCAACATTTCAATAATTATTTATTGATAAAACAAAATAATCAATAAAACAACAAATTTTGAATTTATTTGTTTTATGTTGCATTGAAAGAGGTCAAAATAACTTTCTCTTGGTTCAATACAATCATGCAAGCTCCAAATGTTATTGGACTTTTTAAAAGATTTATTTTTGTTTATCAAAATCACATGAACTTCACTTGTTTGTTGAAACTCCAATACTTTTTTCAGAAGATTTCCTTAAAACATGAAATTAATAATTAATTGCACTTGAAGTATTACATTATGTGGAGAACCCAATTAAGAGAATCTCAAATATTAAAATTTCAATTCATTTCTTTTTCTTTTAGAGGGAATGCATTTCAGTCCACATTGGCCAAGCGGGTGTTCAAATGGGCAATGCCTGCTGGGAGTTGTACTGCCTCGAGCATGGAATCCAACCAGATGGTCAGATGCCAAGTGACAAAACCATTGGAGGCGGTGATGACTCCTTCAATACGTTCTTCAGTGAGACAGGATCAGGAAAGCATGTCCCAAGAGCGGTCATGATAGATCTTGAACCCAATGTAGTAGGTATGTATGTATCTAATATATCTATGTGCAAGACCAGTTTCTCTCTTGGATGAAAATCATCCAAAAACCAATTTATTAAGGATGTCACGGTTTCCAGATACTGTCCAGTCCCTCCGGACTTTGGTCTCGGGACCAACGTATATGCCAGATTATGTTCATGCATAAATGCCATCTATTTATCTTATTATATTATACTATTTCATTGGTTATGTCCCATCCCTAATGTCTCATCCCGAAATGGATAATTCCCGTCCCGTCCCGCAATATGTTTGTCCTGTGACATCCCTACAATTTATACATTTCATCTTGCACTGTCTCAAGTCTTGAGAATATGTCATATATTAAGGGGTTTATAATAGTACTATTCTATAAAAAGGCATTGGCATGCAAAATGTCTCTTGCAGTGGTGACATAAAAATGTATCTAAAATACATGAGTTATCTAAATGCATTCATGTTTGAAACTGATATGTTGACCTAATACAGAAAATAAAAGGACCCATTTCTGATTATTTTATTGTCTTTTCTGTCATTTCTTACATATCTATGTTTCAGATGAAATCCGCACTGGAACTTATAGGCAACTGTTCCATCCAGAGCAACTGATTACTGGTAAGGAAGATGCCGCCAATAACTATGCAAGGGGTCACTACACAGTGGGTAAAGAGTATATAGACCAGTGCATAGATCGTATAAGGAAACTAGCTGATAATTGCACTGGTCTTCAAGGCTTTCTTCTCTTCCATTCATTTGGTGGAGGCACTGGATCTGGATTCACATCGTTGTTGATGGAACGTCTATCTGTGGATTATGGAAAGAAATCGAAACTTGAGTTTGCTATTTATCCTGCTCCCCAGATTTCAACAGCAATAGTTGAGCCTTATAACTCAATTTTGACAACCCATACTACCCTTGAACACACAGACTGTGCATTCATGGTTGACAATGAGGCTATCTATGACATCTGTCGTCGTAACTTGGACATTGCCCGCCCAACCTACACCAACTTGAATCGTCTAATTGGCCAGATTGTCAGCTCCATTACTGCCTCTCTGCGTTTCGATGGTTCCCTAAACGTAGATCTTACTGAATTCCAGACCAATTTGGTGCCCTATCCACGTATCCATTTTCCTCTGGCCACATACGCTCCAGTCATCTCTGCTGAAAAAGCTTTTCATGAGCAGATTACAGTTGCTGAAATTACAAATGCTTGCTTTGAACCACAGAACCAGATGGTGAAATGCGATCCCCGTCATGGAAAGTACATGGCCTGCTGTTTGTTGTATCGTGGTGACGTCGTCCCAAAGGATGTTAATGTTGCCATTGCTTCTATCAAGACCAAGCGTACAATCCAGTTCGTTGACTGGTGCCCCACTGGGTTCAAGGTTGGCATCAACTACCAACCACCCACTGTTGTCCCTGGAGGTGACCTGGCCAAAGTGCAGCGTGCAGTCTGCATGCTGGGAAATACCACTGCCATCGCTGAAGCATGGGCTCGTCTTGATCACAAATTCGATCTTATGTACGCCAAGCGTGCTTTCGTCCACTGGTACGTAGGAGAGGGTATGGAGGAGGGAGAGTTCTCTGAGGCTCGTGAAGATCTAGCTGCACTTGAGAAGGACTACGAAGAGGTTGGAAGTGACTCAGTTGATGATGAAGGGGATGATGATGGAGATGAATACTAATCATGCAGTACCATAACACTCATATGACATTTCAGAGATGACACGGCCAACTGGTATATCTATAACAATGCATGAAAATAATGGCATTGCCCTGCTGAGGAATATAACATTTCTTAAAACATACACAACAACTTGATATATAATATACATGTTACAATTGATAATAACTTGATTTTTATATGTCAATTGACAGATTTTAAGACATGAATGTCTTAATTAACTTTTGAAATTTAAATTATAATACATTCTCCATGGGTGATCACACACTCACATGCATATCCATATATACATCTAAGAGTTAATTCGTGAATAAAGATATATATTTAATATATAAAATATTGTTTTTTTTAGTTTAGAAGGTGGCCAAATGCCTCCATAGACTAAATGTCTCTATGTAGTCTAACTGGGGTATTCAAAAATTTAAACTCTGCTGATTTGAAACATACCTTTTGAATATAACTCATTGAAAAGGTATTTCTAAACAAAATACATGTAACCTATTAGCCTCTCAACATAAAATTTCACCTTAAGACTCTATGATCACTGCTGATATACTAGATATAGTAGCAATAAGACTGTTCTGTGTGAACTATAAATAATCTTCCCTCCCAAATAACCCCACCCCCATACGTAGGTGGAGCAAATTCAGAATCTTTTGAGTTAGTTTTCATTCTTTTCATTAGCTTAAAAAAATATAAAAGTATCCTTAATCATGAGAAAACAGTAAAACCTGTCTCAGTGAACACCTCGCTCTGGTGAACATCTGTCTAGTGAACACCTCTTCCCGGCACAAACTTTACTGAGTTCTGTATAAAATTGCCTCTCTGCCGTGCACACCTGTTAACACTTTTTGTGGCTCCATAGGTGTTCACTGTACACAATATATAAGCACAAATGCCAAAGGAAAGGGTCACTAAAAACCCAACAAGAAAAGCAAACTGTAAGTGTAAATCTGTCATAAGAAAAGCAGACCCTATATATCCCAAAATCATGATCTAACAGGAGAAAACTATGGCTGGTTTCGATCCCTATTTCTCAACCATTAATGCCATAGCCGGGATCTACCTCAAAAGGTGCCAAGTGAAAAAAATTGTGAGTTCATTGCCATTTTATTACTATTAGATACTAGATTTTATAAGTTTACAAGTTTTACTGTAGATTATTATGTGTTTATGTCATTTACAGTAAGTAATAATAAATATTTAATATGGACACATAAACTGCTATTCATGCTGTGAAAATAAACATTAATGAAGGCCATAGAATTTATATTGTATTTCATGGATTATAAATCTTTGTTTGTTTCATAAATTGATGCGATAATATATTATCATTTCATTATCAATTCTAATTAGTTAAGGACACATACATTGCAAAATTACTAAATTATTTGAATTTTGTCTCAGGTTTGCCACTTTTGTTACACATTAACTAAATGTGGTTGAAAAGAGGTCTGCTGTTTATTTGAATAAATTATAGATAGAAAGAGCTGTTAATTTTTGGAAAATATAGAGCATTAACTAACAAAAATGTTATCTATAAAAATATGTTATCATTTCTGTGTGGTATCATTCACCACTCACCAGTTATATGAGCATTGATATCACCCCCCATAGCGTACGGTCGACATTCATTCTCATGCGATTTTGGAATTATAGCAAAAAATCCTGGATCCGCATGCGGATATGAGTGTCTAAACACAATCCAAATCATAGACAGATATAAATTAACTTTATATGCCGGTGAAAAGATGTCACTCTGCACGTTACTTGAAAGTAGAAGAGTTTGTGTAATTACTTCCACTGGTACATAAACAAATATGCACACATTGAACAGCTTGGTATATTTATGCTTTGTTCTGTATTTATGAGTTATGAGTGCCCCATATGATATTAGGTCTTTAAATAAATATTACACTGGGTGTGTACGGAAATTATTTTGCCACACTGACTTTAATGTTGACCAGGTTTGTACATCTGTTGATTGATGTATCATTGTTTCACCCCAGTATCATTACCCAAAAATTTTTTACAAAAATTACTTAACTTTACTAACTAACTACATGTATCCTGCTCAATTAGTTTGAACTTTCTTGGTATTTTTATGTCAGTATTACACACTTTACAAACAAAAATACGAAGTGCCACTCACCCATTATCTGGGTATTGTAAAGTCCAAGAAATGTGTGTCCCAAAACAATCCACATCATAGTTAAGACACGTATACCATGTAGCGGTTGAATATCTGCTTCATTAGTTGTGCTACTGAACAGTTTTGCCCCATTGGCACGCAATGAAAAACACAACAAGAATCTGTAATATACAATAAGTAATGTATTCATAACAGAAAAAAAACAAGGTATAATATACAATTATTGACCTCTCCAGAGGTTTACTGTCAAAATTATATCCCGAGACTGTAAACCGAGACCGTAGGTCGAGGTTTACAGTCGAGGGATATAATTTTGACAGTAAACCGAATGGAGAGGTCTATAATTGTTTTGTTAGTCCGAAGAATATCTTAGATTTTTCTGACCCTTGAAGTTGACTTGAAGTTGGATCCAGACCCTCGAGACGTTCATGTTGTATTTCAGTATATCGGCAGTAAGTTCACTCAATGGAGTCAAATTACTCTCCTGGGCGAAGTCCACTAAAAGCTTTGTACAAAGTTTTAGATTTTTCTTCTTCTGTCTTTACTCTCTAAGAGACTAATAATATCCTCATCTTCAACATTTTTGAAACGGCTAGTGCTAGCGGCGGCCATTTTATCGTCTGATAATGACGTCATTTTAGTGGAATGCTGGGAATATTATTCACCGGCAATGCATTGCGCGGTGTACAGTTAAAATTATTCACCGCTCGTTGACCAATCAAAATCGAGTATTTCAACTGAGGTACTAACAATACGGATTGATACCACCTTGCCGGGCCAGTTCTAGGGGTTTTAGTGCTAGTTTAGAAGGCGTTAATTTTACTATATCGGCCTGAGTGAGCAATATGTGACGTCATACTGGTGGTCAAGAATGCATTTCAGACCGGTCGAGAATGCATTTAACGACCGGCAATTTTCCCGGGAAACTAGATATCATTCAGTGCGTAAGATTTTCTTGCTGTTTTAGTCCTGGTCGTTAACGGTGGTAATAATACTAATAACACCATTTCTGCGGGCAATATATTACCCTTCGAAATGACGTTATTGTACTATTAATCAGAAATGTCAGAAATAGATGGGGTTGTTTAGACTGGACGATTTCTTTACCTGTCTGTGCGTCCAAGTTGTTGCCATGGTGATCCAACATGGTTTGATCTAGGTGGGACATCTATATGTGGTTTTTGGTAATGTAACATAGTACCTTTAATGGCGAGGACTCCCAAGATTACACACAGTGCACTGAAAGATAGACATACTCAATGAAGTCTTGAAGGGCATTCAGTTAGAGATGGTATCCAAAAATTGACAGTTAGGCCATAAGAAGTAGATTCTTTGTTTTGCGTCCTGGCAAAAACCAAATCATGCAAGGGTACAAGGAAAACAAACACAAAGTCTCAAGAAAGAACACAAACTTGTTTGCTGAGAAATGTATACATTTTATGGGCATAAAAAGGGATGACATACCAATTTGCAGTGATTACAAACACATATCTATACATTTTATTTCAATATATTTAAACATAGCTATTATTCAAGGGTAAAAAATAAAAAATATACAATGAATGCCAAAGTAATTATAACACTGTCAATTTTGACGCACATCAAATTATTCGCCATTTCGTCTGATTCTGATTGAACTAAATGCGATGGTACTTTCAGACCCTTGTGATTGCTATTTGGATGTGTTTGTTTTTTCTGATTTATTCAAAATCGTGCAAGCAAGGGGACGCAAAACAAAGAATCTACTTCTTATCGCCTATGGAAAACCAAAGTTAATAGGATGAGTTTATTGGTTTATTTATAAACCAGTTCTGGTGGTGACATAAAAAGTAACAAAAATTGTAGTGATATTTGTGGAATATTCTCCATATTCCACAGATATCTCTTTTTTCCACACATTTGCAAAATATCATAAATATAAATATGTGTTATTCTACAGATTTGACCTCAACTATGGGATAATTCAGAATATCTCTAATTTATTCATATAATATTCCGACTCAGAATCTCTTAGTATTTGAACGATGCTTAAAGGACAACTGAAATAGCTTTTCTCAACTTGCAGCTACAAAAATGCGGTTTTCTCCATTGTAAGCCCAACGTAGAGTTCTTGCGATAGCCATTATAAAATAAATGTTAGATAACTGCTAACGGTCATAAATAATGGAACAAAACTAACTGATCAATCAAATTGGCCCCAACGTGATAAGTAACGTCATATACAAAATATAGCTTTGGTTTGTTGGTTCCTTAGTAATCACAACGTCACGGCAACCATAGGATTGTAGTGTAAACCAAAACAAAACATTTAGGCATTATGACGTTATGGGCCACGTGGGGACCAGTGAGAGATCACGTGGGGGTATAACGTCACAACCAATTCGAATATTGCTTATTAAGCAGCTATAACGATCGTTAGAGTGAAATAGTTTTCGCACTACTGATGAGAAAACATGTCCAAATACATTTATCAAAAATTATATTGATTCCTGTAGGTTAAAAATACCATTTCATATCTGCTTTAACAATCAAAATTTCAGAAGTAAAACTGAGCGACATATAAAATTCATGAACGAGTCTAAAGCATGTTTAACAGGTGTGAACAAAATATGACAAAATTATTGTTTTACAGACCATACAAGAACAGTAAGAGTATACTCACATGGTAATATAAAATCCATTAGAGAGGGGTAAATCTTTAGCACATACAATTTTCACACTGGATGCATCTACTGAAATATGAACAAATTAGGATATGGGTCATTTGACCATATTCTCAGATGTAATAAAACCAGAACAACGGCAACGCCAAAGCGTAGCGAATCCCATCGAACAGAAATGGCTGGCATTTTTACAAACGAAGCGCAAATATCATAAAACAACACACCAGAAAGGCCACCATTTTCAAAATGGTCGCTCACTAGCCAAGTTGTCATCAGAAGAAATAATATGCTTTTAAGTAGGCACCTCTAAAATTTTTGAAAAATCGCACACGTACTTGTAAAATAACACACATAAAAATGGTGGCCATTTTTCAAAATGGCTGACTACTCCCCAAAGTTTTATTAGATAATGTGCCATGCTTAAAGTATTCACATATCAAATATGAACAAAATCGCTCCACTACTTTTCGAGTTATAGTAAAATACGTTAAAATGGCGGCCATTTTTCAAAATAGCCACCTTCTACCAAAAGCATCATTAGAAATAGACAGTGTACCATGCTAAAAGTATTCACATACCAAATATGAACAAAATCGCTCCACTACTTTTCGAGTTATAGTAAAATACGTTAAAATGGCGGCCATTTTTCAAAATTGTTTTCAAAATGGCCGCCTTCTACCAAAAGTGTCATAGGACAGTGTGCCATGCTTGTACTATTCACATACCAAATATGAACAAAATCGCTCCACTACTTTTCGAGTAATAGTAAAATACGTTAAAATGGCGGCCATTTTTCAAAATGGCCGCCTTCTACCGAAAGTGTCTTTAGACAATGTGCAATGCTTATAGTATTCACACACCAAATATGAACAAAATCGCTCCACTATTTTTTGAGTTACAGCAAAAATTGTAAAATGACGAGTAAAGGCCGCCATTTTTCAAGATGGCTGCCATGTGCTTTTTTAATATCTACATTTGTAGCATTATTAATGTAGATTATTTATAATTTTTTTACATTTAAAACATATTGATTGCTATTACAGTTTTACATATTGCACCTAAATTACTGTAAAATCGTCACTAAAATGGCCGCAATTTTGAAATGAGCGGCCATTTTGAAAATCGGCTTTCGAGCAGAACTTCTACTCCCATAGGGTATATGTGTACAAAATATGAACAAAATTGGGCCAACGGTATTTGAGTTATTGCCCGGACGGACAGACGGACGGACGGACGTACGTACATACGGACGTACGTACGGACGGACGGACGGACGGACGGACGGAGGCGTTCCCTATATCCCTCCGAACTTCGTTCGATGGGATAATTACTGAAATTCAAATACTAACTGGGCAAAGTGAAGAGTTGTCTTATAATATTAACATTTGAATTTCATATCATTTCATAAATCATAAAAGAGAATAATGTTACTGATTGTATACTTAATTCTCTGCAATTAAGGGCCCATCCCCTTATAAGACCCCCCCTCCATCGCCCAATTCTCAAAGTTCAAGGAACAAGGAATGGCCAGATATTGATAATAAGTATCAAGAAAAAGGTAGAAATTCTCATTAGAATGGTCAGAGGGTGTTTTGAATTTCACGAGGAACCCAGGGGCTGATTACAGAGAGTACCGTACTAAATGAATTGAAAATACTTTTGGGTTGTTGTATGAATAACAATAATAAGTCTTTCAATTATAACATGCAAAATATCACTACCTGCCATTTATTACATACACCAACCGCGAACTACTGAACAACATTCACAAAAAAGTTGAGAGACAATTGAGTGGTGTTGACATGAAAATATATTTTGGTCACAAAGTCCTGATAAACTGTTCCTAATACAACAACATGTTTTTTAAAGATAAAACTCTTTGAATGGGCAAACCTCCACTTGAAACCATCATAAAATATCTCAAAAAATACAGCTGGATATTCAAGAAAATTACTTTATCATTGGCATAATAACCATGATCTTAAATAGGCAAGGCAATATTATTCGTAACTATTGAACTTAGGTTTCCACTGTGTTCAGAATATCTGAATGAATATATATAAGGGTTATGTACTGGGAGGTTTTTGATATGGGGTTTATCCAAGATTTTTCCCTAAAACTTTACTGGGCATAGGATAAATTTCTATAATAAGACCAGATATGCCTGGTATAGATCATGATTCAAGGCAGTCATATATTTGACCATACTTAAAGAGAGAATCGGATCTAGCGAGCAGCCTCACAAAAAATTGTTTGAATTTTAGAATATTTCTGGCTTACCGGTATGTAATTCCTTTTCATGTCTATTTTCTAGAAATCCCCAAAGTGCACACTTGTTTTCAGGAAAACTAAAGACTTTTACAGTAATGTATTATTTTTCTCAAAGAATGTTTACCATTTTTATTATTTGGGAGAATTTAAACATTTTTCACCCATTTTGCACTTTAAATCCTTCATAACTTTACCAATTAATAACATATCGTGATTCTTTTGGGAGGTATCACATTTGAGATTGTACGAAATAGATTGGTAGGTCAATTGTACATGGTGCTTGTAATTTTGTCACCCCCAATCATCCCCCAATCATCTTGATCAGAAATGTTACATTCATGTTTGGAATATACTAAAAGCCATATCATATCTGGTCATTAAAGTGAAAATAGACACTAATAGCCTAACCATACCTGGTCCTTTAAGTGAAAATAGACACTAATAACCATACCATACCCGGTCCTTTAAGTGATAACAGACACTCATAGTACCATAGCAATGATCAAAGAAAGAAACTGCATATCCAATGTTCAATAACACCATGATGACATAACAGGAATTTATTGACAAAACAAACAAAGTTGTGTATATAACAATACTAATGCTGATACCTCCAATGCCATATACATTGATTACTCATCATGATGTTTGTTAGGAATGCTGTTTTAGTGGAACAGTGACGTTGATATATTTTTTAATAGTTTAACCCCCTCCCTCCACCTATATATCAAAGGTCTTCCTTACTTTCCACAAATTAACATTACTTTCTAATGAAATCGTCAATATATCCCCCCTTGATGAAATCAATAATGATCAGATGAAAGGCGGTACGCTTCTGATATTTAATTCTTATATTTCAGTCAAATACTAATTAGTAAAACTATCATTACAGTGACATTTCATTGTTTAGACCTCTAATTTTCCAGTTTCTGTCAAGATAAAGTGGGTATGGAGGGGGGGGGCAGATGCAAGGGACAGATGCAAGTAGAAATGACATTTACATAAGATGAGAATGATGTATATTGACTCAGAAAATGTGTAGCAACACAGGTAATCAAACAAACCCCTTACAAATAATAGTTTTCATCATTTGTATTCTCAAGTAACACTTCACACAGCAATAAAAGAGTATTAGTGTAATTAAACTGCAATAAAAATTGCATTGAACTTAATTGTCACAATGACTGGGATTCTTTTAAAATTCTTCAGGTAATAAAAAACATTACTTCATCTCTCAACTGATGGGACTTCCTTGGGTAAAGTGACTTTGAAAAATATCCAGAGTACAAAAGAATAAAAATGGTGAAAGTGATATTACAGTATATAGCCAACAAAATCTAAAAAAAGATATCAACGAGGAAATACAGAGGAAAATCATGACTTTTTCATCTTGGCAATATATTAGTCACAGTTATAAATGGTGGCACATTGTAATAGCAACTTTTTTCATAAATTCCATTCCTTATTAGGTTAAGTCAGCATCCATATCCAGGAATCAACGCTGAAACAAATCACCATTTTGTTAATGCTTTATTATTTGATGTAAGGGATCTACCAATATCCGATACTTGATTGATCTACTTGGAGACGCTGATCCATAAGGGAACAACAGTCGAAAGGAGATGTAATTAATTGTCAATTGCGATTAAAGACACTTTGTAATTATCAATAAGTACTTGAAACAAGCCATGGAATAATGATTAAAAGGTGGGCTAATTGTTTGATGTGTTAAAACAGAAAAATTAGCAAGGAATAAAGTAACATAATATATCAAAAAGAAGGTAAGTAAAAGCTTAAAATGGTATGTTCTAATAGAGATTTAAAAATTAAGAATTAGCAAGGGATAAAATAACAAAATACAAATGGTATTGGTAAAAGGTCATAGTATGAATGTTTTAATTAAAATAAAGTAAAAAAGTAATGTAAAAGCAAAAAATAAATAAATAAAAAACAGAATATAACAAAGAAGATGTTTGTAAAATGTTATATATATGAAAGTTTTGATATAAATAGGTACGGCAAATGAGGAATAAGCAAGGATTACAATCAGTATCGATGCAAATTTAATTAAAAACTGCATTTTAAGTCTTCTCAGAAATATTTTTTATCAAAATCAACATAGATGTCCACTATCTCATTTTTCAATTTTTCAAGAGACAAATTAATTAACAGATGAACATGTTTTGTAAAATAAAATTGCAATGCTGGACTGGTAGAGTATTATTCACAGCGATGGTAATGAAAAAGTTATCAAAATAAACCCAGAGCATAGGATGTGACAACACAGATTTTTAGCTTAGAGATCTGTATACAGTGTATCTAGGAATTTTTTATCTTTAGATGTTATAACAATGATGAACCAATCAATTAAATTCAAGGTAATACAATAGAAAACTTCAAACTGATTTGACTTGATCCCCAAAAATCAAAACAAGGGTGGGCATAAGTAAATGAGTGTATAAAGTCACATCTTTTTTTAGTGATTATTGTACTACATGGAATCATTGTATTGCCATTCACAACATGCACTGTGTAAATATTTTTATTACTGCCCTTGTTTTCAAAATAAATGCAATAAATCTATAGGAAAAAGTCAAAAAAAGTCAAATAACGATTTTTCAAGAATTATATGGAAACTAATTATCAAGTCCAAATACAGTAATTTATGCTGTGACAAATAAAAAGCCATCGCAAAATTGAAGTACTTAAGTTTGAAAACATTCCAGGTTTGTATTCAATTCACTATTCTAACATATCTCATGCTGTAATTGACAACCACTTAAAAGTTTTGTTAACATTTGTGATTTTGTTCTCAATGACTTTAGAAATAATGAAATGTCTATGTTAAGATAGGATTAACAATGTTTAGATATCATAATAATCCTAAGTAATGCTTAGAATATACGATAGTGCTTTAATAATGTATTTCTGTTTGAAATGCAAATCCTCACATCACTGGATCACCCATCTCAAAGGTTTTGCATCAAAGAATATAACAAACAAAGGATTGTGCAGGTGTGAGTGTTGAATTTTTATCCCTGAACGTATGTATATCTGCACTAGCAAATGAGCAGCAGTTTTCTAGGGAAGAGCGCGGGGGTGATTCCTGTTATATTTGCGGATTGATACCGAAGTCCATCCTTGATACAACATATCATACACCTATAGATGATGTCCAATTGTCAACAGTTGTGGAAAACAAAGTTAATTTCATTATGGTTTCACCCCCCCCCCCTAGCCTCCCCTCCCCTCATAAAAGATATTGTATGAATGCCAATTTATTCTTAAAATTTTATATCCTATTTTCAGGTGTTCCTTCTTCTCAACAAAATAATCATCAATTATTGCACATTACACACAATAACTCCAAGGCAGGACTCCTTTGTGACGTGCCAATGATGGCGTTGCATGATGGGAAATTAGGATTGGTGATGTCAAATGTAACTGACCGTTTAAACCATACATTGCGGATCAACACCATAATGGCTGACCATAACAAACAATACTTAAAATTGATCGAAAAACACAGGAGAATGCGAACAAGAAAAATAGAATGGGAATCATCAAAGGCTGCAAAATCCTATGCAAAGATTTGTAGCACAAGGAAGGTACTTGATGACCATTGCTTAATTGCCCAAGGTGAAGAAGATATTGCACCCTTGTTAGGTCCTACTGGGTTAGGACGATATGGGGGTGCCAGCATTGAACGTCTTAAACCAGATATACTTCAGAAAATTAAAGACAATCAACCACGTTTAAGACGACACCGACGTGCAATGAGACATCTCGCCCAAGGTCAACAAGATGGACGAATTCAAAACTTATCAACTCTCGAAGCCACAAAGAAGGTTGGGAATATCATTGATAGACCTTATAAAACAACTTTTGAACAACAACTAGCTGATTCTAATATCGGAAAAGTGCAAAAAGCAAATTTTACACCAAGTAGGGGTAATACACTTATTTTGCCCCCTTTAGAAATATCAAGAACCTTCAAACAAATTAGGAAAAAACTGGGCAGCAGATCTCTTCAAGGGGTAGCCCAGCCACAGAAGCCTATTGTGCTGACACCTATCAAGAATGAACAAGAGTGAAAAAAGTTAATACATGTATATATCAACATTTAACATCGAAGTGATAAGAGATATGAATGACATCAACATTTTACACTTGCATCTATTATCGATGACATCAGCATATTAACATGACACCTATTCGTTAGGAGAAATGTATATGACATCAATATCCAATTAACAAATTTGTATTGATGACAATGTTAAATGACATCAAAACATATTAATGATACCTGTTATCAATTAATAGTTGAAACAGCACCTACATTCTACTCTGACATCTATGAATGATGGAATGAAATAAAATCATCCTTAAATTGTTATCTATCCTGATATCTGATATATCCTGATATGATGACCATTTGAACATCATTATCAACTAAACCTGACACTGACAATTTTTGCATGTTTCAACAGTGAAAATTGGATGGACTTAATTTTCTTCAATTCAATTTGGTGAATAATTATAGGATATCCTATGATTTTGAGGTATATCATTTTTATCTACGAGGTGATATTGATATCTGCACGAGAGAGTGAAGCGAACGAGTGCATATATCAATATCACAGAGTAGATTAAAATTATATTCTGAAAAAAATCATAGGATGTTCTTATTATCCTACACTTACAAGGAGAAATAATAGTCAATTTGGTGGGAAATCAACAAGCGGAGTATATCGTCACAATATCCTCCGCATATTGGGTTTTCCGGAGTATATCGTCACGATATCCTCCGCCCGGAGTATATCGTTACGATATCCTCCGCATATTCATTTTGCCAATAAATATCAAATTTATTTTTTAATGTTATTATACATTTAGTACATTAAGTGTAGTAGTGGGGGGAATTTAGTGGAAAATATTTCAAATGGTGATACAAGCAAATTTATTGGCTTAATCTGTTATTTAAACTATTTGGAAAAATTCTGTCCCTGTGATCGATCAAACTGAACACTATTTCAGGAAAAAATTCAAGATGGCTGCCGTATATGTGTAATTCGATACAAATGACACTCTAGATTTATATATAGAGATAAATATGGTTTAAAATTATATTGATTCAGTAGTAAACCATGTACATTACATCTAGAAATACAGTTACATTCATTAATGAGCTGAATGACTTTATAAAGGGATTCTACAAGGTTCTATTTTGGGAGCACTCTTATTTTGCGACAACTTTAGTCATTAAACTTGTTTTCTTGAATAATGTTGATATTTCTCACATATTTCAATCTAATATTTCAAGTTTACATGAAAACACTGTCTTACAAGTACCAAGGAGACTTTGAAGGAGTCCCGCAAGGTTCTACTACACTCCATTATTATCACAATCTCTTGGAATTCGGTGGAAAATATTCAAAATTGTGATACATGCAAATTTATGGGCTGGTTTGTTATTTATGCAAATAAGATAAATTCCACCCCTCAAATCAGCCAAACCTAATACTATTTCAGTAAAAAATTTAAGGTTGTCGAAATATGTACATAATTCGGTAAAAATGACACCTTAGATTCATACATATAGATAATATGGTTAAAAAATAGGTTCACTCAGTACTAAGACATGCAAATATATTTAGAAATGCTATGATCTTCTTTGATTTGAATTTTGGCAAAAATAGTTTTATAGGAGTTCTTCAAGGCTCTATTTTGGCCCTCTCTTTAGAACTTGAATTACTTTATAACATTCTCTAATACATTTAATATAAGACATAATTCAAGAATATATTTCAAGTTTGAATGAGAATATTGTCAACAAAGTATCAATGCAAACATTGAAGTAGTCTTCAAAGGTTCTACCTTAGTCCATTATTATCACAATCTCTTAATAGTATGATGAAATAAGGGCAGGTAGACAAGAACTTATCAATTATACAGAATTACATGTGGAATTGCACAATACTGTACATTTAAGTACAGATTTTTTACAAAAGCAAACTAAACATGTCTAGAGACTTGCTGGGTTTAGAGCCCCGTGTCGAGTTGTCTACAGTGAGGTCAACAGTAAAAGGCCATGTGATGTTGCAGCTATAACACAGCTATTAGCAGAAACAAAGCAACACAAAACCAACTTGCCAATTGTATGGCTTGATATAACTAAGGCAGCAGTGTACCACACAAATGAACTCAACAGCTTTGAAGCATTATAATGTTCCTCAACATGTGATTGGCCTTGAGATAGAGCACCTTGAAGGTATTCAGTTGAGATTCTTGACTGTAACAATCACCACTGGTTGGCATGCAGCCTTTAGAGAAGGGAATCATGGCAGGCTGCGTATTACTATTCATGGCAGCTATGAACATCCTTCTGAAAGGAGCCACAAGGAGTTCAATGAATTTAAAATGAGAAATGGTAACCCACATCCAACATACTAGTATCACGTTTTCATGGATTGATGGGGTTACTCTAGCAAATGACACAAAACTTACCCAACTAACTAGGCAGGGTGGGACGGCCTAATAGAACATCCAACATATTGACCCAATTGTCACAAGTACTTCAAACTGCCTAAAGAGTCCTAAAGCAACATATGTGATTCAGGCAACAGATTGGAAGGTGACTAATTGTAATGACTATTACCATGAGACTCCTTTATTGCCCAAATGACTTGATTGTCATCACATCAGAACAATATGATAGTCCCTTTCCTGGCTGTTAAATTCTGCTGGAGTTACAGCAACAGAGTAGAACAAGGCTCTCTTAGAAATAGGCCAAACAGAAAAATGGCGACTGTGGCTGCATTGTGCAGAGCTGGCTGAATAACTGAGTGAGGTTAGATCAACCTGTTTACAAACCTCTCTGAGTTTGTATGCAGCTTTAGCTAAAGCTGCTAATCACAACAAAACCTGAAGGACAATAGTGCCACAAGCAATGATACTCCATTGTTTAAACTCACGTCAAAATTCTGCAATTATTTTCTTGCTGGTGTCAAAGTAATGGTGTTGTAGTTGTAAAACATGGTAAATACATTGATAAATCTGCAAAACTCACTCAGTACTCAATGTTCAGTTGTTTTTGCAACTTCAGTTGTTATGGCAATTTACACAAATTGATTTTGTTGTAAATTAGTGCATTTGTAAGTGTAAAGAATAAGAAGGGTGTCAAAAGTGAACCTTAAATGGCTCCTGTGTAATAATGACTTTTAAAAACTGATTTTGTTGTAAATTAGTGAATGTATATTCCTAATTATAGAACAGTAGTACCAATGATGTTAAATTCATTAAATTAAATAGAGTATCCATTGTAATAATTTGTGAGTATACAAAATAAGAAGGGTGTCAGGAATGAACCTTGCTTAACTCCTAATTATTTATTTTAACTTGAGTTCATAGAATTATGTGTTATGTGTGTATGTTGTATATTACAGCTCTAAACATAGATATAAACATGTCTAATCATACTCTGATGAAATCAGAGCAACCTCTCTATTTTATGATTACATTACATTACATATATAGTGAAACATGTACTACATAAACATATAATCATACACATATATAAAATATGTTGTGTCCTATATAGTTATAATAATCATATTATAATATCCAGATACCTTTGAAGATGGTCTGAATGTACTTATTTGTTTTCTGTTGATACACGTTTCTAACTTAATCCTACAGAATGATAAAATTGACCACAACTTCCTTTTTCCAATTATATGGGGTAGGGCACTTTCAACACTTTTTAAAAAATACTTTCAATTTTTCAATAATTGAAATCTTCATATTGTAATATCAGGCAAAGTTATTAGATGTTTTTTAAATAATAATTAATGTTATTTGTCATTGCATTCTTTATTTGAACCTAGAAAATGAACATTATTTCCCATTTTACGCCAAATCGTCACACTTTGGGGCCGTGGGAGAGGGCTAAAATTCAGTTTAAAAATTTGAAAAAAATTCACATGACTATTTTTACCTTAAAGAACAACATTTTACCATGAGAGCATGAATTTTCCAAAAAAATTTTTTTTTGCCCACCCTACATGTTATATAAGTCATACTTTGTCGGCCATCTTGGATTTTGGGGGGAAGAAGTGAAATATTCCGTCGATCACAGGGACAGATTTTTTGAAAAAGGTTTTAAGAAGCAGAAAAGCCAAAGTTTATACTTGTATCACCATCTGAAATATTCTGCCTAATATAGGGGTAAATTCCCCCCACTATAGGATAATACACAATATGGCTTGCATAATTAGACATATGTAGGTGCCATCCTACATTACAACAGAGTCATACTGTATAAGTGATAATTTCGACGAATCATTTATTCCAATTTTTGCCAAGTTTGGAAAATTAAATGTCAGAAATATCATCTTTATGATGTTGTCCAATGGGAAGTTTCTTGTCATTAGGAAAATTAAAATTAGAAAAAAAAATGATAAAATTTGACCATTCAGCAAATTAACCTAGTCAGATTAAATACCACTTATATACAGTATTCTGTTAAATGTTAGAACAATGTAATGCTACCTGTCACCAGTTATGAATGAAATAATAGAATAAAATAATTTTAAACCGATACACAAAAATGATGAATTCTTTTCGATACCATTACTTTACTCACTTATTTAAGTCAAAGTAGATAGAACTTCCCAGAGATGATTTTCTCGATCAGAGTTTCAACTTAAATCAGCTCCCGGAAATCTTAGGTTTATTAATGAAGGTTTATGAGTGGATTTGGTCCACCTAAAATTTTTGTCACTCTTATTCAGCTACTAGTACTTCAGGCTACTACTGTTTGGTATCAATAAAACCTCAAAGTACAAATGAATCGCAAGCATGCCCAAAAACCTAATAAGAACTTGGCATTTTTCTGCTCTTGCATCTGCTAAGCTTAAGCACTTTGAAAAAGTGCATTAGAAATACTTACTCGTCTTTACATCACCAGCCATCAATGTCATAAACAATTCTGGGATTGAATTTTTCTGAATGTACTCAGTCAAAATGCTCTCTGTACAAGTATCCGGAACACATAAACCCCATTTTATAGCAGTACTCTGAAATGAAGAAAATACATGTAAAGTGTAAGAGATCAGATTTAAAATATAGTTAAACCTGTCAAAGTGGAATACCTTTGATACCTCTAAAAAGTGTTCTACTTAAAGGGGGGGGGGGTGTTCTACTCTATAGGGGGTGACAAAATTACAAGCAACATGTATAATTGACCTACCAATCTATTCCTTACAATATCAAATAAAATATCTCCCAAAAGATTCACAATATATTATAAATTGGTGAAGTTATTAATGATTCAAATTGCAAAAATGAGTGAAAAATGTTTAAATTCTCCCAAATAATACGTTATTGTAAAAATCTTTAGTTTTCCTGGATAAAGTTATGCACTTTTGTGATTTTTAGAAAATAGACATGACAAGGAATGACATGAGCCAAAAGTATTCTAAAATTGAAACAATTTTTTGTTTAGCCTGCTCTATATCTGATTCTCTCTTTAAAACCTCTTTGATTCCCCTGAAGTGTTCGACTAGGGGAGTGTTTAACTAATAGAGGTTCTTTTGACATTAAGTCAGTTGGTCTTGGGGCTTAGAAAAGCGTTCCCCTCCTAGGTGTTCTACTTTATAGGTTTCACTGTAACTAAATTGAAAATGAGGCCTATGATGTACATGTACTTATTTTTTTTATACATGATTTTATTCTAAAAAAAACTAATAAAATAAAAAAGCTTTTGATTTTGGATGTTTCAAAGAATTGTAGACTGAGGCAAATATAAGATTATGAAGTAGCACTTTCAATAACATGATGCCTCCAAATACTTACAAGATTATTTGACAAAATGTTCCCCGCCAAGCAGTACTGAGTATCAGTGTCTTCCTGGCATTGTTGGAATTGACCTAACCATGCTGTGTTACCAGACATCACTCCGGCACCAGGTCGCCCTGTACTATCAACATCTACAACAGTGATTTCTCTGAGCTTAAGTAAAATAACCTTCATACATAAGATAAAACTCTGATTTCTATTTGGTAAAATCTAAAATATTGTCAAATACACATAGGTGATATTCTATCAAGGCATTTAGTAAATGGTCAAAAACTTGTTAGAGTTGGAGAGATCAAATGAAAAATGAAATTTTGTGAACTGGAATTGATATTACATGTATAACTGTACATTCAATGCACGTAATGATGAGCATCTGACCAAACTGATCCAAAATAAGTACAACTTGGGATTTACATTCTTCATAGAACTTATCAAACCTCTCCAATATCATATATCTTGTACTTACAATTCTTGAATGTATCCTTAGGTGTCCAACTATAGATGGCATCCATTACTTCCACACATGTGTGCTCAGAGCCATCTATACTTCCACCCAAGGCACTTCTGACACCAATTCCCAATATCACCACGAACACAATACTTAACATTTTCATTTTCTTAAATGTATTCTTTATTTTTCATTAACACGGTTGATGTAAGTCTAGTTCATCCAATATCAGATTTTCCAACATTTGTTTTTCTTAGGCTATATTTCTTCCACTGAAGCACATGTTGTTGTGTCGCAAAAAAGTAATGTGAAATTGTCAAAACTCAATCCCAATTTTCAAATTCATAAAATGCCTGGAATTTAATAAAAATATGAGAACCTAAATATTCAATCATACGTGCACAATATATCTGATGCCATATGTTGACTTTGACCTAGAACTTACTATTAATTCTAGCACTCCTGTTTGAATAATAATATGTTCAACACATTCAGAACTTACAGCTCTTATCAAATTGGGTTGAACTTTAATGTTTGTTATGTCAATCATTTACTAGTTCTCTTTTATAGTCTACTTTGTTTTAAAACACTTTTCAATGGTTATACAGGGTTCTCACCAGGAATTTTTTATCGCGATTACTTCCCCATGGGAGATCAGAGATATCTTATTCAGGGGCTTCATTAGTAGAAGGCAACAGGCGATTTTCATTGGTTGTTTTTCCATGTTAAATTCATGATTTCCATTACTTTTGTCAGTTGTTTTAGTTATTTAACCTGTTGTTAGAAATTCTAGTGAAACTGCTGTTATTAGTATACTTTTCAAAGTATTACCTAGGATTTTATGACAAATAATGTGACAAAAATGTAAAAACACTTTAGACTCAGGAAAAGCTATTGGACTCTGGAGCAAGAGGGTCTTATTAGACATTAGACTCAGGATATTCAACAAAGTCTAAAAGCCTAGTGAGAATGCTGTAATGTACACTGCAAGTAAATTGTGCATTAACAATACTGTACATGTTAATGTTACAGTACATGTAATGTACATTACATGTATAATGCCGCATTACATGTAAATGCTTCAGTACATGTGGACACTATGCCAGTACATGTAAATGTACATTACATGTATAATGCTGCATTACATGTAAATGCTACAGTACATGTGAACACTATGTCAGTACATGTAAATGTACATTACATGTATAATGCTGCATTACATGTAGATACTACAGTACATGTGGACACTATGCCAGTACATGTAAATGTACATTACATGTATAATGCTGCATTACATTTGGACACTATGCCAGTACATGTAAATGCAAGTTGAGTTGTGATTTACAAACAAAGCAGTTTATTTGAATTGCAGTGGAATTTAGATTAAAAGTAAATGAAAATTTTAATGAAAATTTGGGGTGGTATTTAAAACAAATTTTTAATGTCTGATTATTTCTTTGATGCAGATCGGTATTGTCCCATTTTATAATGCAATACATCTCGGAGTGGATTCGGTCCTTTTGCGAGTCTAGAATCCTCTTGATATATCATATGTTTCGCTTGTTTTTGCATTTGGCGATGACGGGGTTTCCTATGACATTCCACGTAACCTCTTCCAAGTCTCTTGACAAAGAAACAAGATGAACAACGCAATTTCAGCTTCCCCTTGACCTTGTATCCGCACGTTTGTTCAATCAGAGGCATAGCTGGCTTGAGAATTTGTGGGGTCAAAATTGAAGAATTTGTGCATCTAAGATTATGACTGAGGAACTTAGTAAGCGAACTAAATGGTTGATTTTGTGTGTAACTGACATTATATATGGCTCCAATATGTTTTGTGAGCATACTGGCAGATCGTAGAGTTCCAATAGTATGTCTATGTATACCCGTCATTGCTCCAAGACAAGCTTGTCGTATAATCCCAGCCATGATGCACTCAATAGATGTCACTACTTTCTCTCTTGAACCTGAAAATGAAATGATCAACAATCAAAACAACAGATCTATTCTATTTAAGAAGATACATTTATGTTATACAATGACGGAAAATATTTTTTACCTGATCTGGGCTCTTGTGTGTCCAAATATCATTGTAATGCTGATGTCACATTTCTGGAACCACGGGAGCACCATTCACATTTGGACAGACAAGAGCCCGAAGATAAAATATCACTGTTTTGGCCTCTTATCAACGCAGTACTGCTTGAATAACGTTCATTTGTGATTAAAAAGTTAAAGAACAACAAGACGCTTCCAATGAGGTATGATTTGTCTCATATTTTTCAGAAATGGCTGCACAATCGTCATTTTAAAATTTCGAAATTATTTTGGTGTCTCATCTGGAGGAATATTAATTGAGCTACTGATTCTACTACAAAAGAATCTGGCAGGGATCTATGTTAAATATAAGAGAATTTTCAAAAGGCCATACATCAGTGGTTGAGATTATACAAAATGTAAAATATACAAATTTTAGGGGATATGTATCAAGACAATATTTTAAACTATGGGCTTTCAGACAACTGTGGTTAGGAAATGGTGATAGAAAATCCACCTGTCATTTATTTATGAGTGTACTATCCTTACTCGGTTTGTTTATCTCGTGGTATGAGGAAAGTAGTTCTATTAAAAACCTGTTTGGGGACTTCAATGGTATACTACAGCACCACAGAATACTCTCACAAGTTTGCTGGCATATAATGCCCACAGGCCCATAGCCAGGGGGGCTCGTACGAGCCATTATTTTTTTCACGGACATATTTGTGCCCCTTTCCCTCTGTTTTCCACCAAGGGGCCCCCCCCCCCCCTCCCTAGGATTGGCCCGGAAAAAATGTTGGCCCAAAAATATTGAAGGGCCTCTTTAGTGGGCTTTTTGGGCATAACTGACCTATTTGGGCCTTATTTTATTCAATTTCAGGCCAAATTTTCAACAAACAGGCTATAAATTTTCAAAATTTTAGCCCGAATTTTGGTTTAAGGGCCATAAAAAAATTTAGGCGCGGCCCTAGGATGGGCCTTTACTTGACCTTTTTACTTGACCTTTTTGGGCCTTATTTTTTCAATTTAAGGCCAAATTTTCAAAAAACGCACCATAGATTTTTAAATTTTTGGCCCAATTTGGGTTTTAGGGCCCTAAAAAGTTTTTCCACACACATGCGGATATTTTTTCCTGACCCGAAGTGTGGGTTCCCCCTTGTAAGCTTCCAGATCCGCCACTGTCCTTTACAATACAAAGGGGCTTGGTTTAGCATGGGGCATTTTTTGGGGGGGGGGGTTGGAGCCCCCCCTTACAAAAAGCTGGCTACGGGCATGGCCCAGAATAACTGGGAAACATGTGATCATAACAGTGAACGGTAAAATATTTGGGATTATTTTCTGCGGATGGATGACGTTGGTAGTGGTGAATTGGTCAATGTACATAGATATGATGACGTTTTGGTGCTCGTGTTATGTAAGAGAGCAGAATTTTTGATTTTCGTGGGATATTTTTTTTTGAACTTTTTTTGACATGGAGGTGAGATGCTTTGCTGTATTCCTCTGAAATTCTTTGCAAAATGAATGGGCTGCGATTTGAGAAATTCTAATTCGAACTTTGTCAATTTAACGTGCATTCCAATGGTACAAAAAGGAGAATTCTAGGCTATAGTTGGGGACAAAAATAAATGACAGGTCGATTTTCGATCACCATTTCCTAATTATGGTGGTCTGAAAGCCCATAATTTCCAATATTGTCTAGATACATATCCCTTAAAATTTGTATATTTTACATTTTGTATAATCTCATCCACTGATTCATGGCCTCTTGTAAATTCTCTTATTTTTAACATGGGAAATCCTCACTTCAGCAAATCCACCTGTCATTTATTTATGTCCCCAACTGTAGGCCTACCTATGTTCCAAACTGTAGAATTTGAAGGTGGCATATTTTGACATGAATTTTGAGCATTGGAAAATCGGGATATGGCAACAAAATTTCGCATAAATTCATATCTACCGGTTAATCTGTCGCTCCTATAATGCGTATGTCCTAACTCATCTCATTAACGTTATAAAACGGTAAAAGTTCGAGGAAACAAAATTTTACAAATTTTCTCCAACATGTGTTTCTCTAGAACGTAACTAGAGAGAGAATCGAAATTACTAGATCTGATTCACTCAAAACTAAAAGAGCATTTTTAGAATCATAAATAAATATGTAAATAAAAGAGGACTTTTCAATTGCATGAATATTATATATTCCAACGTTAATTATAGGGCTAAACTAGCTTCAATCACAATTTCTAGTCTAAGAAGCGATAGGATGCCACAAAAAGTTGAGCATCTAGCAGTCTAGTGAATATCCAAAATGGCGACGATATTCCGAACTACATTTTCAAGGTTTCGCATTTCAAGAGCTGTTTTGCGACCTTTATCGACATCTACTAGTCGTTTTACTGCAAATGAACTTGTTGAAGACAAAGAAACACACACTGGACAGGTAAATTTGTTAATTTGGGGTCGTAGAAATGTAAAAATACAAATTATAATTTTGTTACAAATTAGATTTTTCATAGGCCCGAGACTAGACTGTATCCTTCGTCTGAATAAATATTCAGACTGTAAGTCACCTATTGTAAAATGTGGTGTTGTATAAATGTTACAAATAAGTTTGTTTAATGATAAAATGATTACCTTATAAAGAACTTACAATATTATTTTTTCGTATATTGTCCTCTTAGATCTACCATGGGCTTTCAACTAGAAGGGTAGGCAACTTCCCATATTTCATACATAAACATTGCCATGGGTTTTCAAAATTGGAGAATGTACACATTCCAAGAAAATCTTATTTTGTACTTTTTATTGATGATTATAAGAAATAACTCAAAAATAAAAACATGATCTTCTACATACATCTTGATAATTTAATAAAAATTGGAATTCATCATAATTATGACAATACAGAAAGTGAACATTCTCCCACAAATTATGTTTTTATTGGAATGTGTTCTTGAATAATTACCCACAATGCAATACTCAAAGAGAACATCTTGATAACTCTTATTCTTATTGGTCTCTTTTGTTTACTTTTATATGATATTGAATATATTTTATGCTTAAATCATATTAAAAATTGATTTTTATTCAAAATAATACTAAAACATATACATTTATCTAATACTTTTTGAAATATTGCCATAAAAGGGAAGCATGTCATTGCTCATTTTGAAGGTCTCATGTTATTACATAGAGTTGCATACCCTTCTAGTTGAAAGCCCATGGATCTACTGAAGATATTCATAAAATGTACAGACGCTTCTTGTAGCGAAGCCATTGATTAGGTCAAGCCATTTTGGCAATGCCAATTCTCACGATAAACAAGATTTAGCCAGTGACGTCAGTCTATTTGTAAACAAATAACACGTGGAGCGGACGGAGCAACATTACGGAAGCGTATTGCTAAATTCCATTTGTGCGGGAATTTATTAGATCTAGTCATTTATTATCATTATCCCGATTAATTTTCTTCATTTATAGTAAATAGAGCGGAAATATTCATGAAGAAGGCCGAGGTAATCAAGTGGTCATGTGTTGTCAAAGTTCAAAATTTGCATATCTCGTTTGGATCTCGTGAACTCAAACGTCCTTGACATTGATTTCGCGATCTACTTATGAACACATCCTGAAGTTTCGGTGAGTCTGAACATTTCATTATTTTATATCAACTTGTACCCGCCTTATACAAATATTTTTGCTTCTAGTTTAAGATGAACATCTCTTCAACATATTCACCAATTTTCAAGGTGAACATTCTTATAATAAACGAGAAATTAATGTGCAAAAAATATCACCGCGATTTCCACAGGAAATATATCAATCATAACAGACCGAATATTATATTCGGTCTGTTGGATACATACTAGGCCCGAGACATGTAGTGAACAGAAGCCTATAGGTTTCACTACAAGTGCGGAAAGAGGTTTGAGAAAAGAAAAATAGCACAGGAATGTGTATCAACACCTGACAGTGACATCAATTAAGAGATAAAAGGTTATTTCCAGGGTTTGGTCACCAGTATCTACATGTAGATGTCACTGTCAGGTGTTGATATTATCGAATTCTACGACCACTTTAGATTGTGGTCGTACGCGCATATAATTGGTCAGTCAATGTTTTTACAAAGTTGGAGAAAATACTACGCATTGCACACCTAAATGACCTACCTCCATACATTCCTTAGTATTTTAGAATTCATTTTATGTAGTTGAATCGCCAATTGTATGGGTTTATCGGCAGAACGAAGAGGTTTTCGTTTTTGATAGCATTATTTGCATGTAATATTTAACTTATTTCAACCGTCAAATTCCTCCATTCAGTTCCCGGCATGCACCAGTCATAAGGGAAATCCCTGGAGAATTCCCCTTCCGACATTTTGAAAATCGCTGATATATTTCCGATTTAAAATAAATCTCTTCGTTCTGCCGATAAACCCATACAATTGGCGATCTAACAACATAAAAAGTGACTATGGCCAAATGTGGCCATAAATCCATGCTGAATGACTGAGTTATTAACACTTCTTTGTGTTACCTTTTTGTCTCACCTGTTTATCATCATATTTAGGGATGAATTAAAAGCTTCTTTACGAGTATGCTTTCCCTAATCTGATTACGTTCAATTATCTCTTATGATTAGCATAGTCTTCAAGTAATTTAGATAATGAGATCATTCCTGCAGTGAAATATTTCATATCACTGCAAAAATATCTCCAAATTTTTTATTCCCAAATTTCTAAAAACTGGATTTCTTATGATGGAGAATACTTGTAGAATGAAAAGATTCAAAAGATTGCTTCCAACATTTCACATTCTCTTGTCTCGATCTACTTTAATTCTGGCATATTATGACATTGAATCACATAGGTCCAACTATGCACATTGAAAACCGCTGGGGGCCCAAACACCGCTAAAAGAAGGGACTCCCAAAATGAGACTCCCAATCCTTGATTTTTTGGTTGTAGGTGTATAATTCAAATTATTCAAATGTTTTTTTTCAATGTGCATAGTTGTACATGTGTATGAATGAAAAAAAATTTCCCTGTTTTTTGCCATGTCCTTCAACAAGATTTGTCTTATTTGGTTGTTTTGATATCATATTCGATCTTGTTATCATTTATTGAGGAATGATTCAAAAGTTCAAATGCCGAAATGCAACTAGTATACATACTTTGAATTTTAAATTTTAACTCTTTTTCAGAAATGGGAGAAAGAAGATTACAGGATGGCTAGATACGTGGACAAATCTAAAACTGTAAGTTTTGAATTTCTAGTTTTAAAATATGCAGCATACTTACATGTTTTTGTATGTGTATTTATTTCTGTCTCAATGATATCTCCATAGGATTTTATGTTCACTTATCTTCATATTTTTAAATAAATAGATAATTTTTGTCAATTATTCAATGAAACACAAAATGAGGTACGAGATAAAGTTTATAATGTACAAGTTATTTATTGATTGAATAACAAATTGAATGATATTGGATTTCAGGTATGGTCATTATTCTGATATAACCCAATTAACTAATTTGACTCAGATTTCAGATTGACAGAGTCCTAAATAATATATTGCTTTTCGAATATTTAATTACTTCAAATTTGAAACATTTTTCTTTTAAAAAAGCTTTCCAACACTCACAAAGTATAATGTAATACATATACTTTACTGAAATGTAATTATTTATGCAAATGGACATACACCGTATATCAATAACTTAATTCCCACTGTCTCTTACTTCAGGTGAATACTAGACATGCTGCAGACCTCATACTAGAGGTGCCCCCTATAGCCTCTCAGAGTCGTGTTGTATCTTGTGATGGTGGTGGTGGGCCATTGGGACACCCTAAGGTGTACATCAACCTTGTGAGTACTTTTAGATGAGAAGCACTTTAGAAGTGCTAAATTGACAGCAATGTGTGCTGATAGGTGGATCTGCAGATGTGTAGGCAGCATAACAAAAAATTGACATTTTATTGGAAAGAAATGTTCACCTAAATGAGAAGTCCCATTCATTTGAATAAGTGCTCATATCCATGGTGAGTTGATTAATAAAATTAATCCGTCATTTTGAATTTTGATTTGACCTACTTTCACAACTGTTTTTTAATAAGGGGCGGGGTCAAAATATCAATGTTCATATGGAGACGAAAGTAATTTCGTTTGGACAACAACCCCCCCCACCCCCCCCCCTCTAGACGAAAGCTTAGGTCACTTCAAAAAAACATTGATTTTCGTGAATTAACACACGTTCCCAATTTAACTGCATTGAACTCTTCAAAAGGAGGAGGGAAAAGTACGGAATTTATTTGAAAAATGATCGAATTATCGTCTTTATCTACCGATATTTTGGACCTATCACACAAAAAAGCTCACGAACTATTGAAAACAAGCCTTTTTATCAGAACATAGCGCCAGAAAAAGTGGGTAAGTCCAATTATTTTTTGTATATCAGATCTGCATTATCGATGTTTTTTTGGTCAACGAAAGTGCCCAAAAACCCCTTCCCCCCTCGCGAAAGTACTTTCGTCTCCATATGAACATCGATATTTTGACCCCGCCCCTAAGACACCTAAATATGAAGAAAAATGATGAAAGTCCCAAGAAGTTCTAGAAAGTGTACCATATTTAGTACCAAGTTGCTGGTATGATACTTGTATCTTGTGATTGAAAGAATTGTTATACATTTTCACAATGTGAGCCTTCCGAATGCTGCCATTTTTATGTCTTGACTTATAAGGACTGACTTTCTGTACATTTTCTACTTGTAGGACCAAGAAGGCAATCACTCATGTACATATTGTGGACTTAGATTCTACAAGGAAGATCACCATTGACAAAACAAGGACTTAAAAACAATAGGAAAAAATAAACAATAAATATGCCATTTAGTAATGAAGTTTGCATATAAACTATCATACGGCCTTGCTTGGATAAATAAGTAAATTGTTTAACATATCCTAACTCTTTTTCAACTCGGCTTCATAAAAGTAAGATCAGTAATAGCTCTAGCTTCAGTTTTTATAGACATTTGACCAAAATTATAAGAATACAAGAATAACAATAATTCAAGAAATTAGAAGATCAATACATTTACAATAAAATGGAAAGAGTCAGCCTTTTGAAAAAATTGTTAAACACAGGGTTTAATTACCATAGCCTAGACTATTAAAACACAGAAAGCATTTGATCTATTAGCTCTGTTTGTGCATTAATTATTTATTATATATCGAGGTCAAGAAAATCAATCAATAATTCTGTACTTTGAAAAGGTGCATTTTACAGTTGTTAAGCACTTAAGTTAATTATTTAATGAGGATATGCTACTATGAACATTTTATGTTTATGTTAAAGGTGTCAACAAGTGTTATCATATAGAAGTTTTACCTTATATGGTCAAAATAGAGTCACCTGACTTATCCTTAGAATATTTTTAAAGATACTGTTGTTTGATGGGATATATGAGACCACTTTGTATTGCCAATATTTTAGAATATTACAAGAATTGTACTAGAGTTGCACAATTTTTGTCTTATGGGTTGTTATCGTGTGCATATTGTAAATAAACAACAAAGGTAATATGTTGATTATAATAATTAATCTGTTTTATGTTCGTTTTATTATTATGTCACTAGCAGAAGTGGTGACATATTGTTACAGGCTCCAACCTTTTGTGGACTGTGTTCAGCGGTTGGTGTTTGGACTGTCAGAGCCTGTAATGAAACCCTGGCAGGTAGTGATGTCTTGCATGTTTATGTCTTGTTTAGAGTCCTAATTTGAATAACTGCAATCTAAAATTTAAAATAATTTGAAATAGGTTTCGAAAATTATTGAAATAGCTGCCAAGATTATACTGAGAAAAAGTAAAATCCTGCAAACATATTCCAGATAATTGAATCTTTATACAATGCATGTTAAAATCTTAAAGTATAAGTACATCTTTCAGTACTTATGACACCCTTGTTCCAAAACAAAAGATAAGTGAAAAGGAACAGTATCTCCAATAGTCAACACACATTTTTTTGAAAAGTGCAATGGGAGAATCGAAAAGAGAAAGGGTGTAAGCATGACTTGATGTGTTTTAAAAAGAGTTCATATACAAGGACGGATTCAGGTACAAGACAGACAATGTAACTGCCGGACCAAATCTGTAGAAATATATTTATGATCATACGTTTTCTCAACTAAAACTGCACATGAATTTAATTACCTCATTTGGCCACTTGACTCATTTGCCCCGCCAAACTGCCCCTGATGTACACGTATAATATATTCTAGCTAGCAAAAACAATAGTCAATAGCAAACGGATACTAAAATGTTCGCAAAAATAATTAATATCAAATTGTCTGCTTGATGAAATATTAAATCAAAATGATATCTGATAATACACGATGTAAATGAATGTTATATTAAAAGTTTTGTTCAAACAATCGTACATTTACGATGATCTTTATACCGTTATCCACCGGATCGTTTTGTTTATTCTAGATTGAGTTATAACGGCCGTAATTGTGAAAAAGAAATCACTAGAAGTAAATATATTGCTTGGATTAAACATTTAAGGTAAGTACGTACTAAGATGATATCTCATTTTCGAAGTAATTAGCACACTTTAATGAATATAATTGTACCTTAGTTGAATGGTATCGTTATACATTTCATGACTTATTGATTGGGTTAAGCTGATGGTCACAGTTGACTAGTTTTTATCAACCATATTGTATGTACATTTGTTAACATAGATATCGAACAGACAATGTAATAGTCATGAAGATCCGAAAAATTTGCCAAGAAATTCTATTTTGTTTTAGTGAAAGGCTTGTTTTAGCCGGTGTGAAAGAAATGATGGTCCCCCAAGGATTATGGTCCCCTTTCTTAACGGCCCTTACTGGCCCTGATTGCGTATAAGATAATGAGGGAAATAGTTGTATTTAGGTCACTATATGAATCAATATAAAGTAGGACCATAATTTGATAGGACCTCCTATCCTTTTACACCGGAGACATCTTTATATGTCTCTGTTTTAGCACCTACACCCATTTTTCATGTTTGGAATTGCATTCTGGTCTGAATCGATCGTGATTCTCAGGTCATTTAGAGCATGTCATCTAATTTTTATGTCGAATTTCTTAGTTATTAACTAATTTCTATGCATTTTTAACTGGTAATTGGAAACTGTCTTCTCTTTATCACGTGAAAAGTTCAGTTTTTTCATTTAGGTACATTTTTCTGGTACACCTAGTAGATCGCCTACGGCGCTTGATGCGGGAAAGCGACAATAGATAGATCGCCTGATGATGAAGGATTTTGCTCGATTTAAAACATATCATCTCATATAGTCGTTTTGTTGAATGTTTGGCAAGATTTAGCTTTAATTGCTTTTGATGGAGGGAATTTGTACGTAAACGTGTAGAATTATCGTTTTCTATGGATTTAGGTTCTCCCCTTCTTGGTATTTACATGTACCAGCCCGATTGAGTGTTTAGGAAATAGCATAATTACTGAATTAGCTGATCCTTGGAAAAACAATTAAATTGGAATGGGTATATCCATTGGGGTCATAATATCACACATGCACGTTCAAGTTTTATTTAAACGTGTGACTAAACCTGCGAAATATTTTTTATCTTTATTGCGGTACTGCAATCGCTGGCTGTTCATATATAAAGTTTTGCTTTCATTAAAAGATGTCACTCTTTAAAGCAACTTTCTATACATAAAGTTGAATTTACGGTTATTTTGAAAAAGTTATCAGTTCAGACATGGTTTCTTTGGTCTTACAGACATAGGGCCTTCATGAGGTTAGCAACTAATGTACAACTCAGGCAATACTATAAATGTAAACATAAAAGTTAATCACCCAATGAATGGTTAATGGCCTGTAGGAAAAACATAACAAAGTTTAATGCAACAAATATGTAGACCATAAACATGAATAAAGTTCTGTATTTATAAGTATGATGTTAATTTTACTTAAATTATTACCTTGAAGTTCACATACTAATGTCTGATCATAAGTTTGAATAACAGTAATAAAAATAATTTGCTACATTGGTGACAAAATGTTTCTAGTTTCCCGTTGAATGTCGAGTCTCGCATCATACGAATGTAATTTTAGGCGATCTGTCTGCATGGGGTGTATTGATGTATGACCTCTGGTCGAGAAGGAATTTTCAATATTGCCGCTCGACTCAAAATGGCCGCCATTTAATCTTTGGTAATTCAAATACTAGTCGAGGGATTTGGTTCAAATGTTACATGCTGATGACTAGTAACAATGAAGCTTTGCTCAAGAACATATTTTCAAGATTCCCGCTAAATTTTGAAAAAGCCATTTTTCGTAAAAACCGTAATCTTCAGATAACTCAAATGTCAGTGGATGGATTTGGTTCAAATATTATATGCTGGTGCTTAGAGACACATCAGCTCTGCTTGAGAAGGAATTTTCAAGATGGCAGCATTTCAAAATGGCCGACATTTTTCGTAAGAGAACGTAATCTTTAATAACTCAAATATCAGTTGACAGATATGGTTCAAATATATGCTGATGCCTAAAGAAAAAGCAGTTCTGCTCAAGGGAACATTTCCAATATGGCCACTGAATCAAAATGGCCGCCATTTTTCATTAAAAACGTCATCTTTGATGACTCAAATACCGTCAAACGGATTCGGATCATTTCATATGCTAATGCTCAAAGATAAAGGAAATGATCACCAATTGCCGTTAGAAATATAGAATATAATCTTTGATAACCAAACACCAGATGACGGGTTTGGTTCAAATTTTATATGCAACTGCCTAGGGACAAACGAGCTCTCTTCAAGAAGAAATTTTCAAGATGGCCTTTATTTATCAAAACATATTTTGTTCGGTGGGATTTGCTACTCCGTAGAGTTAATTTTTTCTTGCGGCTTGATATTAAAGTGTACATATGATATCAATCGGATTGAATTGAATTTTAATTGAACATGGTAACCACGTGAGAATTGTTTTGATTTATACTTTCTAGTTCTGAATATTTTCAGTTACATTTGAGCATTTTATTGCAGAGTAATATGTGCTACTATATATCTTTTGTTTGATTACAGATGAACTTGTCATGGTTACCATGTGTTTTGATTTTGACACTGCTATCAGCCAGCAATGCAGTACTAACACACACTCTTCAAGAACATTACCCCCCCGAAATCATGACGGCAGTTTTTGATGCATTTGGTTTTAATGAACGAGGCACTCGCAAACAAGACACCGATGTAATAAGGTCAAGGTTTCAGCTTAATGAGTTAAGCCCTAAAACTCAAGAACTATTAAGAAGAGCTGAACGACCATGCACGCCATATAACTGCACAGGTAAAACTATACATAGTTATTTGGTGTTTAAGGCCGGTGCATTTCACTTATTCCATTTTTCGGGACAATACTTGATGTTGTATGTTATGTCGGTACATGTACGATGTACATGTACATGTACATATAGGATCAAGCTTATCAAGCGTGCTTGAATGTTGACAAAGTTCATTACTCTGACACCAAGCGTCCCCCATCTCCCGACATATACAATTACAACTATTAATGTGATGTACACCCTTTACGCTAATCTTGATCGAGGCACAATCAATTAGAGGCAGAATCAGATCTATAGGCGTGACAAAATTACAAGCAATATGTACAATTAATCTACCAATCCATTCCTTACAATCTCAAATACAATATATCCAAAAAGAATCACAATATATTATAAATTGGTGAAGTTATTATGGATTCAAAGTGCAAAAATGGGTGAAAAATGTTTAAATCCTCCCAATTAGTAAGAATGGTAACCATTCTTATAGAAAATAATACATTATTGTAAATATCTTTAGTTTTCTTGAAATAAAGCATGCACTTTGGGGATATTTAGAAAATAGACGTGACAAGTAATGACATGAGCCAGAAATATTCTAAAATTGAAAATTTTTTTGTTGGCCCTGCTCGCCAAAACTGATTCTCTCTTTAAATCAACTGAAAACAATATTTTAGAGGCAAACTCACCCATTAGAAATGCTACAGTACAAGTTGAACCCATTTACATGATCAAGGCAGTTGTATCCTGGAAATACAGAGTGAGCCGAAAAAGATAATCCAAACAAATCTTAGTCATGATTTTATGATCATTTTGAGCATGTTTTGTAAAATGGCTATAAATTGATATAGTGATCATTTGGAATAGATCAATGAAACTCTTTGGAATGAAAGAACAGTGAACAATGTTTAAGTATGCCAAATACTGATAGTGCGATATGCTGACATTGGGAGGTGCTTTAATTTTCCATAATCAATAATCGCATACAGTAGTTGATATCATCCATATGCATACCCATGGTTTTGAACCAATACTCAATAATTAAAGTTTAAAGGGAGCATGTAGAATTCAGATTCAGAATGGCTATTGATATCATCCATATGCATACCCATGGTTTTGAACCAATACTCAATAATTAAAGTTTAAAGGGAGCATGTAGAGTTCAGATTCAGAATGGCTATTGATATCATCCATATGCATACCCATGGTTTTGAACCAATGAACCAATACCAAATAAAACCAAATAAAATGTACAGTGAAAAAAGGGACCATCGTACACTTTAGATGTACGGTGTCGCTGTTAACTGATTTGAAGCAAAGATAAAAATGTAGGTTTGATGTAGGTGAAAATATTCGACACCCTTAGACGACAGGGGAGGAAATGATCAAAGGAAATGTGAAAAAAACAAACTTTTCCAACCTACCAATTATATGGGTAGATTAACCACGAAAAAATCAAGCACTGTTCGAAAAATATTTAACGTTATTACAATAATGTCTTCCCAAACGAATACACACGAAATCAAACATGAATTCCTAATGTATTCTTCGGATAATTTCTTTAAAATGGGACATGGGAGGAAATGGTCAAAGGAAATGTGTAAAAAACAACATTTTCCAACCGACCAATTGTATGGGTAGATTACAACGAAAAAATGTTCGAAAATCTTTTAACGTTATTAGAAAGTTAAATGTCTTCCTAAAAGAATACACACAAAAGCAAACATGAAATCTTTAATGTATTCCTCAGATATTTAATGTACCATTAATCATAATGATAGACATAATATAATATTAAAATACAATTATAGATGGAAACATGAGGAATTAACCGCATGCTATAGATTATGGTGCTGAATTCGCTTAATTTTAAATTACATCAACCGTACTTCTCCCTAACTATTTTAAAATAATAAACTTATTTATATTTATTTATTAAGATTTTTGTTTAATTTCAGACGAACCAAAAGTTCCACCCATAAACCTGTGCATCATTATACAGAAGTCATGTACGGTGAAATCCAGTGATGTAAAGCTGGCTTACAATCATGCTAGAGCTATCATTAAGACCATTAACAATGCTGATGTAATTAGTACTGTCATATACTCGGCTGAGGGAGAAGTACAGGTAAATATGGCAAAAATTACATGTGATAAGTGGGAAATGAATGAGTATTAAGGAAAAGTACGGTACATGTAATTAGGAGGAGGTGGATGAGGAATTAGGACAAGCACATTATGTAATTAGGAGGACATGATTAGGTAATTAGGAGAAGAACAGTGTTCATCTATGTAATTAGGAGGAGATATATGAGTAATTGGGAGAGGTGCAATTAGAAGGAGGTGGATGAGTAATTAGGACAAGTACATAATGTGATAAGGGAGACAAGATTGGGTAATTAGGAGAAGAACACTGTACATCTATGTAATTAGGAGATGATATATGAGGAATTGAGAGAGGTGTAATTAGAAGGAGATGGATGAGTAATTAGGAGAAGTACAGTATGTAATTAGGAGGACAAGATTGGGTAATTACGAGAAGAACAGTGTACATCTATGTAATTAGGAGGAGATATATGAGTAATTGGGAGAGGTGCAATTTGGAGGAGATGGATGAGTAATTAGGAGAAGTACAGTGTACATGTATGTAATTAGGAGGAGATATATGAGTAATTGGGAGAGGTGCAATTAGGAGGAGATGGATGGGTAATTAGGCAAGTACAGAATATGTAATTAGTAGCAATGGATGGGTGAGAAGAACAGTGTACACGTATGTTATTTGGAGGAGACAGCTGAGTAATATCCTAGATGCAAGTAGAAATAATCTTGATTTACGTCATTAAAAATTCACAATTCAGTCAAACTGGTGTCATATTTGGAATCTACATATAAAATTACATCTATAAATGTGGTTTTGAAAAGAGTTTATCAACCTTGGAAATTTAATTTTCTTTGAAAATGTGACTTCTAGGTTGGGGAGATTCCCCATAGACCCCATGTTGTAAAACTACAAAAAGTGAAATATCTTTTCTTGTGTTTGGCAGATAATATTTTCTTTTACTGGACATATTCTAATTTGTATAACTATCACATACATTAGGGTAATATGAAAAGTGAACCATTAAAACTGATGCATATTCAAGTTTTAGGGAATTTTGTAATACTCTGCCATGTTATTTCCCCCGAATCAGCCACCTGATGGCGAAACTGGTAACTACCTACTCGCATCTGAGTAATAAGGAGAGGTTCAGTAGGTGTAATTTGGAGGAGATGAGTTGGTAAATAGGTACATTATATGTAATTATGAGGAGATGGACGAGTTATTAGGAGAAATACAGTACGTGTAATTAGGATTAGATAATGGGTAATTAGGAGAAGTACAGTAGATGTAATTAGGACGAGCTGGGTGGGTAATTAGGAGAAGTACAGAATATGTAATAAGGAGGAGATGAATGGGTAATTAGGAGAAGTACAGTGTGTGTAATTAGGAGGAGATGTATGATTAGTTAGGAGAAGTACATTATTTGTAATTAGGAGGAGATGGGTGAGTAATTAGGGGAAGCACAGTAGGAGGAGATGGATGAGTAATTAGGAGAAGTGCGTGTAGGGTAATGAGTAGACTAAAAAGGTAATAAGAGGGGAGAATACTGGTATTTAGGAAGACATTTAAGGTCATTGGAGGGAAGTTCAGGTAATAATGGGATGAAGTACAGGTAAAGTACAGATGATTAGTGAGATACATGCATTAAAGGGATGCGCAGATGTACAGCCAAATAGGATAGTAGATATACGGGTTATACGCGGGTAATTACGGGGAGAAGTACATGCACAATTATTTTTTATGATTTCATACACTTTGAAAACTAATTTTGCAAAAATATTTGACTTCTAAAACCTACATTTAAGACCTTCTTTGACAAAATTACATTAAAGATTTTCCTTATAGTATATTAAAGTGCCCCCTGTGTGATTTATCAATATCTGAATTGGTTTATTGACTTGGGGAGTACACCAATAGGAACGTATGTTTCAATCTTAAGTTTTTATGATTAGGACAAACTAAGGAGGACGAAGGGAGCCAAGATCAAGAAAATTAGAAAAATTCTGAAGAAATTTAGGCCACCTTCCACGAAGAAACAGATTTGCGAGGACTGTAAGGCCAATACAAAAGATGCCATCCATAAGTGCTGGGATGAGTTCGACAAACATGGAGCAAACAACACACTGCAAGATGTGATCATTATATACACTGATGGTGTTTCCTTTGATACAAGGTTTGAATAAACTTCTTGGAAACGGGCGGATGAAAGATAAGTTCACTTGGGAGGGGAGGGATAGAGGAAAAATACAATTGAAATAAGTCTAATGCGATCTACTATAAATTCTATCTCTAAGATAAATTGCTTGTTCCCTTTTTACAGGAATCTTGCAATATTTTGAAGTAAATGGGAAAATATTAACTGTTTGAGCATATTTAAAAAATATGTACCCCAATGCAAACATTCTTTGAAAAAAAACCAACGGGCACTTGCTCGCGATTGAACGGATCCGGGATCATTCATACCGGTACCCATGTATGTATTTTCGTATTTTTAGGTTTAACCTTGTGGAGGAAAGACAGAGAACTCTGGATAAGGTGGAAAGTACAAAACTAAGAACGTCCCCTGTAGTTTCATATGTCTTCAAGTATGATAACCCTAGTGGCCCCGTTAACGGTATTTACTCACATAGCAATTTAAATTGAGGCGCTGCATCCATAGATCTTTTTCTTACAAAATTGTCTAGAGTCAAATATCGTGGTTAGCAGTAAGCACCCTGACCTATACATGGCCAGGGTCAATAATGGTTAACAGGACCCAAAATTCTTAATTCAGCCTAGGCTTAGTCATGCATAGTAATTTGATAAAGAAACCTGGAAATTAGAACCAACCCTACCTCCTACACAACACACATTTCTCAAGGTTGAATCGAGGTTGATGGTAAATCGGGGATGATTTAATCTTGATATCAAGCTTTTCAACATAGATCAACATAATCCTGAATGAACACCGAATCAAGCTTGATATCAAGCTTAAATTGACCCTGAGTTGAATCAGCATTGATTCAAGCCTGAATCAAGCTTGATTTAGGTTTAACCTTGTGGAGGAAAGACAGAGAACTCTGGATAAGGTGGAAAGTACAAAACTAAGAACGTCCCCTGTAGTTTCATATGTCTTCAAGTATGATAACCCTAGTGGCCCCGTTAACGGTATTTACTCACATAGCATTTTAAATTGAGGCGCTGCATCCATAGATCTTTTTCTTACAAAATTGTCTAGAGTCAAATATCGTGGTTAGCAGTAAGCACCCTGACCTATACATGGCCAGGGTCAATAATGGTTAACAGGACCCAAAATTCTTAATTCAGCCTAGGCTTAGTCATGCATAGTAATTTGATAAAGAAACCTGGAAATTAGAACCAACCCTACCTCCTACACAACACACATTTCTCAAGGTTGAATCGAGGTTGATGGTAAATCGGGGATGATTTAATCTTGATATCAAGCTTTTCAACATAGATCAACATAATCCTGAATGAACACCGAATCAAGCTTGATATCAAGCTTAAATTGACCCTGAGTTGAATCAGCATTGATTCAAGCCTGAATCAAGCTTGATTTAACACTAAATCAACCCAAGGGCAATTATCAATGCTTGTGAAAATCAATGTTGATTTTTCATTGAATCAAAATTGAGAAATCTTTGCTGTGTAACCATTCTTTGTATCTTGAAATAACCTCATGAGCATAGCCAGGCCTTACTTAAGACTCTGGCTACGCCCTTGATCACCAAGTGGCCCAGTGGACACACCAGAGGCATTTGCCTAGCCATGCTTTATTTGGTGAATTGTAATTCCCAACAGGCCCGGAACAAGCCCAGTACAGAGTTGATTTTTTCCTTTAATCATAAGGTGTTACCCGTACATGTATACAGTACACAGGCCCGTAGCCAGAGGGGGAGCTGGGGGAGTGGAAGCTCCCCCCGGCCAGAAATTCTTTCAAAATCATTAGTATGGGAGCAAAAGTAATTCCGTTTCCATTTTAGAGGCGAGCTAGGCGACATATATTTTTATGAACTATATGTGATACTTACCAAGAAAAATGATGTTGGCAATTCTAAATCCGCGATGGCGTTGCCATGGTAACCAACTAAATGTGCCACGCCCACTTTTAGGGGCTCTTTTCAGTGTTTGGCCCCTATCTCCTTCATTATTGCTCAGATTTTGATGAAATTCACACCAAATTTTTTTATTTTTTATTTATTTTTATTTATTTATTAAAATCATATAAACATATATCCATATAAGTGATAATGACACCCTAGTGGGTGTATGTCTTATCACAAGCTAAAATATTTAAAAATGGCATATTGTTAGTTACATTTATTATTGATGTTACAAAGTGTCTCAAAGTATAAATTATGTAAGCCAAACTGGGAAACAAATAAAAATAAAAATGATGTACATTATAAAAAGTGTAATAAAACATTTTAATGATGTAGAATAGCTAAATGGAAAAAGGTGCATCTGTTAAAAATTTGTACAGGGTACTAATCATAGAGACTAATTACATGTCTTTTGAAGGCTCGCTTAAAAATAAAAATGGTTTTTGAATTTTTGATAACATCTGGAGTTGAATTCCAGATTATTCCCCCTTGAGAGTGCTAATTCGGTAATTTATTTTTATTTTTTCTCATTACAATAGATTAAACAGATATTGGTAAGTAAAAATAGTATTCCAACAGACTCTCAACTCATTCTGTTTGTTCATTAGTGGCAAAATAAGATTTCCCGGGAAAAACACGACGTCACGAACAGAACCGGTTATGGATTTTTAACGGCAATGCGTTATCACGGTGTTATAGCATGACAGATACGCCACCTCTGAAAACGAGGTTAGTCGTATACGATCACTGATTTATCCAATAAAATGGCCACGATGAAACAGAAAGCTAAGGTAGGTGCATTATGTTCTACTACTGCGTATCAATAAAAGCATGAAAGATTTATGTAAGCGTCGCATTCGGTGATGCATTCAGTAATGTTTATTTTGAACGTAGTCTTTGCAAATCGACGCCCATGGATAACATGAAATAAGCGAAAAACTGTCGAGTTTGAAATTCAAAACCTCATAAAATTTAGTAATTTGTTTCTTTTCTTCGTTAGGACATGCTCTACATTGCGCAACAACCTTGGTGTATATAAATGTAACCTACATACGATCATACAAAGCCAATTAAGCATTGTAAACCACTTAATATGTTCTACTCAAGCCATAATAATGTATTTTGAATTTGCGGATACGCCAAAGATTGATAGACAGTTACGCGAACCTCGTTCATATATGTAAAACCGAATCATTTCATATCGCTTGTGATCCAAAATTGAAATGTTTTTCAACCGGATTTGAGTTTTGTAAGCTATAATAGATGAAATCGTATTATTACCAACTTGCAGGGCCTGTTCTAGGGGTTTTAGTACTAGTTGAGAAGGCATTTAAATTGCTATATTGACGTGAGCAATATTGTGTCGGGCGTTAATGACTTTAGTCGGGCAATAATGATATTATTCGCCCGGCTATGTTTCCCGGGAAAAGTGATATCGTTCAGTGCGTAAGATTTTCTATTTCAAATTTGCTATTTCAGCCCTGGGCATTAACGGTGGTAATAATGGTAATAACGTCATTTCTGCGGGCAAAATAGTGAAATATTGGACCTTGGGCCTGCGGCCCTTGGTCCAATATTTCATATTGCCCGCAGAAATGACGTTATTGTACTATTATGAAGATGGTGACATAAACAGCTGAATATGATTTGTAATAATGGTAATATATGTCTAATGTCACTTATGACATCATCAATTAATTTGGAGTTGTTTTCTTCCGTCGCCTGTTCGTTGTTACTAATTTCTTCCTTTGCCTCTTCATTACAATCATTTTCACTTTCATTGGCTTTCGCTATTTTTTCCTTGCCCTATAGAGGCTCAAGCAAGAGCGTCTCTTGCGAGTCCTGAAAACAAATATAGGCAGTTCACACATAGAGAGCTATCCATCTAGGGACCTTGACTTGACAGGAACTTGCATGTAACCGTCCGCTAACATCTAATGTAAAACTAATACAATGCGTTGCTGTCCATAAAAAAGCATGCAATACATACGTATCTGTCTAACGACCTTGCGATTGAAACCTTATTATCTACAATATTTACCACATTTCTGTTCTGCATTTGTCATTTTATGGCTTGTTTATGCACAGTTTACGTACAGTTAGTATTTTGAGTGGCTCTGAGGCACATATACCGAGAAAACACGAAAAAGGACTAAAAATTATGAACTTCGAAATCTCAGCTGGGTAGGTTTACAGCTTATATTCTGCTTCTTGTAGACCACACGACAGATTTAACTCAATCTTTAAAACCATTCACATATGCATCACCGAATGGAACTGGTTGAAAAGGAAAGCTTATCTGTGAATCTTGCCTACAGGCGAAAAAGAGGAAATGCTGTCTTTCCCGTCCGCCATTTTTTGTTATCATTACCGCAAAATTTGGCCAATTGCCTTGTCGTATCTGTCATGCTATAACACCGTGGTTATGCAACTCGAATGTAAATTCAAAAGTGTTCATGTTATACTGTGTTCTGATTGGCCAGAAAGGAGTAACGCTTACCGAAATCACCTCATGGTTCAATGCCTTTTGGTTACAAGATTTTAGACAGCTTGAGTTATGTAATACTTTCAACTGAGCGTGTTTATTTTCTATATTGTGTTCTGACTGGCAAGAAAGTAATTCTGCATGACTAGCTATGTGAAAACGCACCGCTGGATCGGAAGCTCTAATTTAGGTATTATATTTTTTGTTTGTCGGAGGAAAAAACGTGGTTCCAAAGTAGTCATCTCTGAATCAATTCCTCACTTCATTGAATGCAGTTGCAATCAATTACACTAACACTTTATGAGCACGTTCGAAGATTATGAACTCCAACAACAGATTCAAAACCCGTTCTGTTCGTGATGTCATGATTGGCATTTGACATTGTGTTCCCGATTTTGAACATCAAATTTCACATTTATAAAAGTATTTACAAGAACGGTACCTGGTTTGACATGTTAGTGGTATTTACTTCATTTAGAACGTGTATAAACTGTATTTTGACCCCATGAGCATCGAACAGACACTTTAATACTTCGTTTGCCATAGTTGGTTCTAAATTTGGAAATATGAAGATTGTCAGTCTGTCTTGTATTGTGGTCGTGTACCTGCTGATTTGCTTGAAAATAATTGCAAAATAAGTCATTCGGAAAATTGTATGGACGTTTGATGCATTTGTAAGTAAAGATAAGAACATTGAGTTTATAAATATCATTTATTTTCAGTATATTTAGTTGTTGAAATAAAGGTGATGATGGTGCTTTATTATATTCACTATTAGTAACTAAGCGGGCAAATCTTTTCTGCAGCTTTAATAAGATATCAATATGTGTTTTTCCTGTCCCACCCCAAGCTGGGATGCATTATTGTAAGTGTGAATAAATAAGTGAGTAATAGATATTCAATAATGATTTGATACTGAGTTTGTGTTTTATTCGAAATAGAGTACCTATGGTTTTTGAAATTTTTAGTGCAATTTTTCGAATATGTTCTTTCCAATTTCAATTTTGGTCAATTATAACGCCAAGA